TCGGGTGACTCTGAGGACAGGGAATAGGAGACACCTCCTCTGCAACAACCTGAGAAGCAGACTGTATAAAAAGCCCTCCTGATTTCTTCAACACTGAAGAAAATAACTGAAAATCAACCTGAATTCTACTAGATAGGAGCCCCATGTTAGTTTATGTGTATTCTTTAATTGATTGTCAATTATAGAACAGGTAGAAAAATATCAACTGAGTTCAAGCAAAAGGCTACACACATTTGGACAAGTTTTTAATTTCAGGAATTATTAACCTTGAGGAGCTTTCCATGTTAATCTTCATCATTACTTGGAGACATAGTAGAAAGGCTTTGTAGAATCACAAAAGGCTAAAAACTGGCCCATAGGTAATGGATTTTAATCTTTATAAAGGGTAGCTAAGTATGATAAAGAAGCCTTCTTACATTTACATTAAGGTAATCATTCAATAAGTGACCTGAAATCACACAAAAGCAGTATATCTTCTGGTCTGAATATTAAATTCCCTTCATTACTGCTTTTTATTTTTCTTAATTCTCAACACTGTAAATGTTAAGGTTTACTGTATACACTAAATGACTGTGAAGAGAAAATCTTGTGCACACTGAACTATATTAAGAAATAGGCAGTTGGTAAAAGAAATGAACAGACATCTTTCAAAAGAACAAATTCAAGTGGCTAATAGACATATGAAAAGATGCTCAGGCTCCCTAGCTGTCAGGCAGATACAAATGAAAACCAGACTGAGATTCCACCTAACTCCAGTGAGGCTGGCCTATGTTCAAAACTCTACTAACACCTGCTGGTGTGAACGAGGGGGAGAAAGGTACCCTCCCCTCCACTGTTGGTGGGAGTGTGGGCTAGTACAACTACTATGCAAATCAGCATGAAGAGTGCTTAGAGAACTCCAAGTAAACCTGTCATATGACCCAGCCATCCCACTTCTGGGAATATATCCAAAGGAAATGAAAACTGCATATGAGAAAGGGATCTGTAATCCTATATTTATAGCAGCACAATCTGCAATAGCAAAGACATGGAAACAACCCAGATGACCATCCAAAGAGGATAAAGAAACTGTGATATATCTACTCCATGCACTATTACTGTCATTAAAAAGTATGAAAATCTACCATTTACAACCAAATGGTCCCAACTAGAGACCATTACGCTCAGTGAAATAAGTCAATCCCAAAAGGACAAATTCCATTTGTTCTCTCTAATGTAAGGGCAGCCTTCATGCAAAATGTAAAATCAATAGCCCTTTCAATATTGTTTTTGCTGCAATCCATGGGTTTTGATATTTTTGTTTTTACTTTGTTTCAAAATAGTTTCTTTCCTCTTATTAAATTCTTCATTGGCTCATAAAATTCTCTCACTTTCAGAAACATGAAGTTGGATTAGGTATGTATTTCAGCTATACAGTTAATACAATGATGGCTGTTCCCTGTTTTTCTTCCATTCATTTGTCCAAGCTGCATAGATGCTCCAGAATGCACAGCTCACCTCATATGGAATTATAGGAAATCCTAAGCTTTAATTTGTGAAAGCATAACAATACAGAGGTTTGGGTTTTACATTACTTTCATTCAGAAAGACTCATCAAAGTCCCATGATTTCTACTAGACAAAGAAACTAAAAAGATGGAGAGAAATTCCATGAGAGAACAAGCTGTGTGGGAGAGGAACAGGAGAGAAGGGATTCATGAGAAATGTACATTATGGAAAACTTTCCAATTCCAAGTTTAAGAACCAAAATACATATCTTTAAATTCTATTTTTGCTCAAATGTTTGGACATATGTATGTATGTGTGTGTGTGTAAAACTGTGGCATTATTTTTTTTAAGAAGAAAATTCAAAATATTAGGGACTATGGATGAACTCCCAGGCTGGAAAAGGCAGGCAAGGCTGCAAGACAGACACATCTGCATCAAATCTCCATGAATTTGATCAATGGCATGTGATTACAACAAGGCACCAAATCCTGATTGCATCACCAAAGATCAAGAGAGGGATGGTAGGTGAGGATGCTATGGACGTGGGGAGAGCCAGGTCACAGAAATTCCTACCCATCCTGCTAGGGCGTGAGGTTGCTATGTAGTTCAAGAAAGGAGAATCTACTTCACAATTTTTAGTAAGGAGATGACAGGGCACATTTGTGTTTTTAAAAGAACACTGTAGTTGGAGGGAATTAGAGTATGGAAACTGGCTGCTGACAAGCTGGCAAAAGCAGCAAAGAGCAACAGGGTGAAGCTGTCACTCATGGATGTCTGGATCAAGGCAATACAGCTGGCACTGCAGCTAACCAGACACAGAACAAAACAGACAATTCACCTTTTGAGATGGTCAGAAAGTGAAATATACAAATGCATAAATAAGTACTGAAAAAGTATCAAAAGGAGAAGACACACAATAGAACTGCTCAAATAGGCAGTTTTCTTACCTCATGGTTATATATCTTATTGATACATTTGAAATCTGTAAACAGGGCAGGATCTAATTTAAATTACAATTTATATCAATTCAATTTATATTCAATTATATCACGGCCATCTGTAGATCAGGTTGTTGTGGGAAGCAAGTTCCCAGAAAAGGCATTTCTTCTAGTCACTGTACCAAATCATTCTGGAATAATCAAAGATCTATTATTGTGCAAATTAAGCTGTGTCAAGACAGATCAAAATGTCACACTAATGAATTCTAATTCAGTCTGTTCCCTTATGTCTTACAGCTTATACTCTCTTATAATCCTAACATTTTGGGGGGAAAGAAATACAGCAGGAGCTCCAAATTCTCAAATTATGCTATAATAAATGCCAGATTCGGCAAAGAAAGCTTCAGGAAAAAGAACATGACCAGGACAAAATTAAAATGTCATGTAATAATAAGTCATCTTACTCTTATATATAACTGATTAATTTGGTTATTCTAATTCCTATTTTACTTTCCTTAATCATAATCAGATGGCCATCATAAATACAACCTCTAGTTGAATGTCTTCGTGGAAAATTTTGATGATACGCTGCATGAGAAAACACCACTCCATGTCCACAGAAACAGCGATCCAGGCTCTGAATCAAAGCAGCCATTGAGAATCAGCAGGACACAGAAGGCAACACCACAGGGAGAAACCAGGCGAGGGAATCCTGGACCCATGTTTTGACACGTTTGTAGAATTAAGCTAAGACAAAGACACTAAGGTCTTAGAAGCATAAACACACACATACACTTGCCGCTATAAACATGATGTGAGGTGAGTGAGGAAACACTGACACTACTCAAAGATTTTAGAACTTTTCTATTATCTGCGATGTTATGATTTTATAGTAGATGGATGAAAAACCTTTAACCTACACTGGTTCAGATGGTACTAATTTAACTCCAACCTCATTTTAAACCAAACCTCAAGGGATATCGATTTGGACTTTGCATTCTCATGTTACCGTCTGGGAAGACTTTATATCTAAAATGACACTGGGAGAGTAATGTCAAATTTAGTTATGATTCATATTTACACAGTTCCTTTTGTATAAGAAAAATTGCCAGGTGCTTAAAATTGGCAATAATGCATGCCTTTTCTAATTTGGGAAAACAAGGTACTAAAACAGAACTTGTGGAAGGGATACACTGATTTAATGACAAAGCTGATTATGAATCCCAATAAGTCAAAACCACTTTCCCATTTCCAGGAAAACACACACTTTAATGAAACTGTAAATTTTAATTTCTGATTGTAAATGAGATTCAGCCAGTTCACGAAAATGTCTATGGTCTGCCTTGGCTGGTCTGATATATATTTGCCAATGTTCTTTTACAGGAACCAGCTAAGCCCTTCTGACTGGTCCTCCTTGTAACGATCATTAATTTGGAAAAGCACAACCTGGCTCTTTGTGATAAACACATATGTGGCCTTTATCAAATGTCTTGATTTATTAGGTCATTTCAACTTTTTTAAGTGGCTTCTCAATTTCAGCAGTATGGGCTCACCAAATTTGCCGGTTGTTTCATTACGATCTAGCCTCGGACTTTGTTTTCGATACTGTGGATGTCAAACCTTCCTTCTCACGTGTGCCTACTGCTCCTACCTAAAGGAGAAAGAGGTCTATGTTCTATTTACTCCCAAATCTGCCAAATTGCCAACTCAACTTCCTTTCTTCCTGTAATTTTCATGTAATTTTTAAATTTACGGTTCTCAAGAATTAGTTGTGGACAGTAAAATTAAAATGCTGTTTTTTAAATTATAGTAAATTAATTCTTAATCTCCACTAGGAAGTCTCAAGTCACAATTCATCTACTGTTATATTGGAAAGTAGAAGACATTTGGATTTAGGACTTATTAAAATGATTTGTTTGGTTTACTACAACTACTTCACATTAAATTGAACAGATTTTCATTTTCTTTCTTGCTCACGTGATTTTATTTTGTGTGGCATGTTGTGCCATTATGTTTTAATTCTTTAGTTTTTAAAACAGTGGAATTTAAAATACATTTGAATAGAAACAATCCAAAATAATTAAAATCTCATTGGATTAATTAATAGAAACAATTTTCCATTTGGGCTACTATCGGTAAAGCAGTCCACAGTCAAGTGCAAACACAGATTAAAAATATACACAACGGAACCAAGGGTGGCTGCTAGGATTAACTGATTTTAGCTGGTTCAAAATTCTTTATGCTCCTTTGAATGTCATGTTCATAGCATAATGAGATCTCCTGCATTGCAGCAGTTTGAAAATTCTCTACAGAAAAGAAGTTATAACATAAAAATACAATATACATTGGCAAAATATTGCACAATAGATCTTTTGGCTGTACTGAATCGTCAGCATTGGTGATTGCCTTTGGCTTTGTGCTTTCTGTATTTATTTTAAACATGAAAGTTATTTCTTAACAAAGTTCCATTACTACTTAATTATCTATCATGGTAAAATATACCTATTTTTTTTTAACAAGGAAAAACAGTGGGCACCTGTTTGACAGAGAGGAGTACTTCAAGTACGTAAGTAAGCACATCATTAACAGAGCTATTACCCACTAAGCAACAGCAGTAGAAAGGAAACGAGCTAGAATATGAATTCTGTACAAAGATGAAACCTGACAACACAATAAATAAATGCGCTGATTTATACAACTTGTGCAAACCTTCTAATGATTACAGATAATACTGCATATTGTTGACTTGGCTGGTAACAGCACTGCCTCACATAGAGAGATTCGAAGATTCTTGCCCCTAAAGCCACAAAATACACAAAGCTTACATTTACTTCTAATTAAACATATTGCCTGCCAAGAATCCTACAAACTAAGATATACCTTGGCAGTTTGAACAACCAGTATGATAATTACCTCAGTATAAAAAGATAAGAAAAAGTTTTAATATGAAAATTAATAACACCAGTAAAAGGAGATAGCCTTTGTATAAATAGTTTAACATAAAGTGAGCCTTTTATCTCACTTAAGAAGAAAAACAGTCCGATACTTGAAGATTTCAAAATAATTATCATATTTCCCCAACTCTAGATAAATATATTACTCCAATTTACTAATCATCTTAATATACAATATATAACTCACAAAACAGGGAATGTTACAATACCAAAGCTTTCACAGCACTAGTTACCAGTTGCCAGAACTGTAAGTGATCAGTAGCTGTCTACCAGCTTAATACTGAAAACGCAGAAACTCACACCGCTATGCTGGGAAAACCAAAGTGCAATCAAACAGCAAGGGCCACTGAGAGATTTTTTTTTTCCATTTTAGCTTATATATCTAACTACAGTTTTCTACTTTTATAGCATTATCAACTGGGTAGAAAACTCTTTTATTTAAATGCATCTATAAAGTGATTCTTGGAATACAGTTTCTATGAAACACCCAGACTATAAATTTGTATAGAATAAATAATGTGAAGCTAAAATGACTCATATATGTGGAGTTTTTATAACATGTTAATGGTTGGCTTTTAATTTTCCAATTAAAACTTGGAAGTACATAAAAAATGAAGAGAGTAAATAAATAATGTTGACAGAATATCTTAGTTACACAAAAATTAATATATTTAGTTATATCATATGGGGTTTATCTTAAAAATTGTTACTGAACTAAATGTTATTCCATTAACCTTTTCCTGAAAATAATAAAAAGCATTATACAAATAAGTACAGTCCAGCTGCCTTTGATCTCTCTGTTCTTTGTGATAAACCCATGCAGCATTTTTCTTTAAACATAAATGTCCTAAACAAAGTTTGGGAAAAGTTATAAACAGAAAACATTAAGAAGGATTTAAAAACTGCTTCGCATATTCTGGAAACCAATAATCATCCCTTTGTTGGTTATAAGCTAAGGATCACTTCCCACCGCAAAAGCATCAGTTTACTGAATACACACCAAGACTGTGGCACTGGCTGGGGGCCACCAGGGCAGACACCCAAATCCCAGGCCCCAGAGAGAGGCCAGCAAAAAGCCTGGCAGCCTCACATGGTGGGAACTGCCATGGGAAACGATTCCCTGGCCAACAGTTACTATTTGAGGAATTTTCACAACTTAGCTTTCATTCAGCTGAAGAATCTGTGGCTTGAAAATTGCCCCTTGCATTATCAAACTTCAGAACCATCACATCACCCAACTTAGTGCTACAACACGTAGGACGAGGGCATCGCAGTGAGGGAGACGGGGACAGAGGAGATGCAGGATGACAAGCCCAAGAGGTGTACTGGCTTCCCAGCCTCCTTAGCAACTGTTCTTGAGGAAGTCATAACCACAGAACATGAGGCTGCACCATGTTGTCTGCCCCGGCAGAGAAATTATAGTGTACTTTTGAAGTGATAAACACAGGGAATCCCTAATGATAACTTCTGGGAAGAATAAAGTGTGCCCTCTTTATTCATAAAGAACGAGATAAAGTTTCTCTAGTTCATTTACTTTCAGTAAATGTAAAAATTAAGTGACAAATCACTGGGGGAAAAAAACTTTCAGAATTAGATAATCTCTAACTTTTTTGGGTCAAGAATATGATGAATTATTAATCATGCAAAAGATCAAGCTCACATAAGAAAAGCAGACCTAAATCTGACAAAATAAACCTTCTTTGCTTTAACTACCATATTTATTTTACTTGAAGTAGTTTGATTCTTTCCTCTTTTTTTGCATATGTAGTGGTTCACTGAATGTGTTTGTGCTGTCATGTGTCTTCAAGTCTGAGCTATGTCAGCAGGATAATCCACTGAACAACTTGTAAGAGACTGGCCTGATCTTTACTTATCTCAGTAAACGTTCTTCTGAAATATTCCTTGTGACTTAGGTTGTGCAAAAATGAGTATGCCACATGAGCAACCAACTTAGCAAATGTGGCCTGTTAATGACTTAGTTGTAAAGTGAGGGTGCAGAGAGGCCCCTGTGGGGTTGGCCAAGCTCCTGAGTTCCATTTAGCTACAAAATACAACTAGAACCAGATTCAGGAATAAGGACTGAGAAGAAACTCTCCAAGATGTATTGGTGGGTTTCAGCTCATTTCTGGGATTAGCCAGACAATATCCGGGAATACTGCGTGAAGGAACACACTATTCTGGGTCACTCTTGAAAACTCAGATTCTTAGCATCCAAGAGGGATAACAACGGATGTAAGCCAATGCTAATCTTCTGAGGCATCTTGTGACAAGGAAGATTTGGATTCAGTAGGTCTGAAGTGGACCTGAAACTCTGTATTTCTGTAATAAGCTTGGTGCAAAGAGTACACACTTGGAGCAACATTGACATATTCCAGTGTTGTTCAATAGAATTTTCACAATGTTGGAGTGCTACATCTGTACTGTCCACTCCTGTTTTACTCAGTCCTTGAAAGGTGGATACTGCAATTCAGAAACAGAACCTCTAATGAAAAGAGCCTAAAGTTTAAATAGCCACAGGTAGCTAGTGAATAGCACAAAGGCCATGTTTCCTTAGCCACAAGCATGTATACGGCAGTGTCCAGATCACCTCGCGCACTAATATATTAGCTTATTGAACAAATATCATCTTCCAAAATGCAAATTATAAAACTCTTTTCTTTACACTGTTTCTTCCTGCTGCTTAGCTAAGTGACCCAGAATGTATACTTCAAGAAGGGCGAGATGAAAGGCGTCATTTTACAGCGAGGCACCCAATCAGGAGGGGAACCGACAGTAGATGGCAGCGAGACTCTGAGTCACCACCGTCATATTGACATGCAGGGAAATCAGAAAGGAATGCAGATGCAGAAGAAAAACGTCTAGTACTCTGGCCTCAGCCTAGCCCTTTCCTTCTTGAAAAGCAAAAGCTCCTACTAAACATGAAATGAGAAGAAAGCAGATTTTTGGGTGATGATGTCCGATCAGTGACAGCTGACGGGTGCAGACAGCCCATCACCTCGGCTTCTCACAGACTACAGCAGCCCTGGGGCTGTGCTGGGGACCCTGCTGGTTTCTTTTTCTTTCTTTTTCTTGGTAACCTCTATCTGTGATGAGAAGCTAAGGGTCTAAGGGTGTCACTGTGGCAAAGAAGATTCAGTGCAAATCACCGACAAGGCTGCCAGGGAGAAGTGCCCTCATTGAACAACCACAACAAAACACTCCAACGGTCCATGGTAGAAGACGTCTCTCATCCAAGAGTTATTTGTAAGGAAACTCGAATTCAAGATTCTCATAAGATTTTACACCATACAGAAAAGGCATTAGCTAAGATGGAAAAGACTGTCAAACATCAAAAATAATTCAAGTATTTACACCATTGTCTTAAATTTCAAAGATGTGGTGGTTTAAGAGTCTTGTCTATTACAAAGGAGTACTGCAGTAAGAACACATTGGTTAAGAACATTGCTTATTCTAGGGTCCCTGTTCATCTGTTCTTTTTTTTGGCAGAGCTGGATAGGGATCATGAACTCAACAGTGCTCTGGGAATCTGGCACCTGCTATTTGGCCACCACAGACATGCACTTACAGGAATAGGAAACTGTGTAGATGGGAAAAAACAGAAGGAACTGGGAAAGGGTATCTTTGAAGAAATGTGGGTAAAACTAACATCGTTCCTTAAACTTTTTGAAAATTTTCCACTTATCCACAAGTCTAAGTAAAATACACCCTATTGAGCCAGAAACCCACCAGATTCATTTATTCTTAAGATATTCAATTTTTTTTTAGTTTAATAGTAAATAAATACCCAGGTTATAAATAAGAATAAAGTATCAAACAGTTCAATTCTTTTGAGATAATTAAGCTACATGTGTCTGACAAGCTTATTTTAAATACTCTCCTATAATATTTCTGTTTAGACATCGGGAAAATAATCATATAGAAAATACCAATGAAACTATCAAGATCATATGTATGTATACGTGTATATACATATAAACATAAGTGTATGCATGTGTATATACACATATGTGTATAGAGTTATGTGTGTGTACACATTTATCTACCAAGCACCTATCTGGCTATGTGATATAAAATTGTCACCACTGGGTCAGTACCCTGTTTAGTTCTATTATATAGAGCATTTAAAATATTACAATCCATTTTTGGTACATAATGGCTAACGAGAGCCAATCTGAGGATTTTTTGTGACTGACTGATGCATTTGCCTTTGGCTTTCCAAAATTTAATCATTGTAAAGTTGAATTCTGATGAGCTACCTTGACATACAGTAATTTATACAAAGGAAAAGTGCATCTACCAAATGGGGTATAAGACTTAAGTGAGACAGTGATAACAGTGTGAAGCCCTTAAGAAAAAAACAAACATTGTCTGTTGGGGAGTTTATGTCAGAAGTCACTGTAGCAAGTGGGTAAGGTTAGGTAACCAACCAATGTGCAAATTGCAGTTGAAACCTTGGAGGATTCCTGGATGTGAACAGTCTATTATATTAAAAATTCAAACAGAATACGTGATAATTACAAGGGTGAAAGGGAAAAATGGGAACACAAATATAAGAATTTTTTGGTTTGTAAAGTGGCAGTAAGTTTTGTTAGGCAATGAAGCAAGTGATTTTATAAACACACTCAGGGAGTTTTCTTAATGTGCATGTCTGCTGTTTATGACTGGCTGAAGTTCAAGTGACTTGCGTAAAATATGTGTCATTTGTTGGTTACAGCACAGAAACAGGTTCACAAAATCTCAGGTATAGAATATTTATGCAAAATTCCACATGAAAAAACACAAAAGTGCAGTGCCCTTAGCCAACTAAAAGGTTCTTGGGTAGCAATAAATTAGATTCCACTGAAGCTGACATAAGAGCTATCATAGTGTTATTAGATGTGACATGCAGGAAAAGGAAGGGCAATTCAGGTGGACACATCGTGCATTAACATTTGCATTCATCATGGTATGAGATGGTTTTAACCACACTCTGACCACGGAATGCTAGGAAACCCAACTAAGGTGACACCGATCCAACACTTAAAACTCAACTTCATTCTCATCTCGCCTCCTCAGCCCTGATTTTAAGGAAGAGGCCAATGCCTCCAACGAGACCCAAGAAGTTTTAGCCGCATATTGTTACACAGCTGAACAATCAGAACATTTTATCAGACCAGATTTGAGGAAAGTAAACATTTCATTCCACTTATCAGATAACACAATCTTCTCAGATTCTTCCTACTCTTTTCACTATAGTAAGTATATGTGAACATGTCAGGTTTGCACAATGAGCAAACAGGCTTTGTGGAATGTAGGCTTTGGCACAAAAATATTTTCTAATACCTCAAATCAAAATCTTTTACCCACAGGAGAACAGCAAGCCCTGGAGCTGCTTCAGTGGTGCTGCCTCATCAACTGCGGGAACTATGAGACCAGCCGACGGCTTCCATGCACTTTGTATTGTGTAGCAAGGACTTCACTTCCAAGGAATAGCACCAAAATGATTACACTTCAGACTGAGGCACGCTCTTGCCAAGCTCTTTAATTCCCTGGAGAATTCGCTTCATATGACCCACTTTCGGTATCCCCAGGTCCTACAACAAAGAAGAAAAGTAGGCAAAATGAAAGAGAGAGAGAAAGAGAGAGAAAACAAAGTAAAGAAATTAATTGATAACTAAGAGCTTGGGATTAAATATTCAGTTAGCAAGTAAGATCATCAGCATTTATTTCATCCATTTTTATTGGTATCCAATGATTCAGGAAGTGAAAGAAAAATAAGTCAGTGAAACAAAAATAGCCCGAAACTGAAAAATTGCCAACTGAGGAAAACATCACATCCTAAACACACTCTTAATCATGACAGTCTCATAAATCATGTATAGTAAGTAGTATTAATCTAAGAGTCAAAATTAATCTGGCTTCTCTATTTTTTCAAAAATAGTGTTTTTTTTTCAAAAAAGTTATCTTTTTTCAAAGATAACTTCTTCAGGATATCTGAAAAGAACCATGTATGTCACATCATGGTATTGAAAATGAGTTCAAAGGCAAATACTGACAGACATTTCTTGTGCAAAAATATTAAAATTGAGGCTTAGCCCTAAATGCAGATACTAGGGGGTTGCTTTTAAAATTTGGGATGTAAATACATTAGTCACACCATGAATGTTTAATTTGAATAAAAATATTCACTCTTTATACTCTGCAGAATGTATGAGTAAAAAAATCACTTGGGTATCTGCTGGCTGACACTTTCTTTCAAACCACCATTGGCTTTTTGTTCCTCCTCAGACTCTTCTAAACACCTATCTGTAAGTGCCAAGAACTCAAAACTTAACTTGCAGAAATGGAGGATGGCTGCAAAGCATGCCTTGCCAGCTCTGGGCAAATGTTGGTTGCAGGAATAAAGGACCCTCTTCTAAGACAGCCCTAACCAATTCACCATCTGAAAAAGCCATAACAAGAGTTACAGCCTTCAGACCTTACAGTTTACCTGTGAAGGGTGTAATTAGTTTGTTGTTAAGTCAAACAACCTTTGCACAAAAATGTCTGAAACAGGAGAAAAACATAGGAGGAAAATATTTAGAAAGTAACATCCAAGGTAATCTAGACCTCAGGGATCCAATATCAAAACATTACTTGTCTGAGAATATCCAACTATCTACTCCGTTTTCTAAGAGCATTGTTTAGGATTTGACTTTTTAAAGAAACAGATCTAACTGGCTTCAATTCTCCCCATCGCTTGCCCTCCTGGGCTTGATGAACACTCTGAGTTCCACGGCAGCTGAGTGGCTGACAGCTCTGACTTTGCTCAAACAGCCTCCTCCAATTGCTGCTTTCAAGTCTAATACAACTGCAGGGTAACATGTTTGTACATATTTCACTGGCCCAGATTTTTCATGTAACATTAGGGTATCCGACATTAGTCGTTAGAAACTAGACATTTCCTGAGTATGTGCTAGCATATCAAATAGATTATTTTATGGAAGTGAAATATTGAAATAGTCCATATACTTTGTGATGATATAGGTATCTGATTATCAAAATATTCTAAGTATTAAACATTTTAACCTATATATGTGTATGTATAAACACACACACACACACACACCCAGTATGTATACAATATACATACTGTGTTTTCAAGAATAAAAATTTCTTTTGGGGAGGATGACTCTAACTAGAATTTCTATTTTCGTGTAGGGAGATGAATGGTTTCCATAAGGCTACACTAACTGCTTACATATGTTTTCTTTCATTTTTTTTTTAATTGGAAAGTAAAATATACTGAGAGGAAGAGTGACAGAGAGGAAGATCTTCCATCCTTTGATTCACTCCCCAAGTGAGCACAACAGCTGGAGTTAAGTTGATCTGAAGCCAGGAGCTAGAAGCCTCTTCTGGGTCTCCCACACTGGTGCAGGGTTCTACCTTCAACTGTGTTCCCAGGCCACAAGCAGGGAGCTGGATGGGAAGTGCAGCAGCCAGCTCACGAACCGGTATCATGGGATCCTGATGCATTGAAGGCGAGGACTTTAGCCACTAAGCTACTGTGCAGGGCTCTTACCAATGTTTTCTTCAGCTTGTATTTAACACATTTATATCCTTCGGGGGTCAGACCGTGAAAAAGTTGTGCCATGACGTTTATCATATTTTTCCATATTTTTTTATCATACGTCTATCACATATCATTCTTTATTTCTATCACACTCATCATGACTTTTTATTTGAATGGACAGGCCTGGTTTTGCCCAAGCAAGACTTACAGATATTTATTTACCCTTCCAGACATACATATACAGATTTAAATATAAACAACCTCCAACCCCACACCAAAATGTCTTCATCATTACTTGATGCCCTTCGTTCTCCCTTTGTATTTTGGCAGGGAAAATAATGCAGTTAGTCTGCTTCTTCACCTGCTAAATCATCTTATAAAATACCTTCCTTCTCCCAGCCTGGGAATGCCATGGAGCTTTCTCCAGTTGTTTCTGCGAGACGGAAGTAAAGCTTGAGCCAAACTTTAAGTAGGCCTGAGCCAGGGGGAGGGTCGGGGCAGAAGCAAGACCAAACAAGGTGTATCCTAAGGAGAGAATGAGTCTAGCATGTAAGATGCTGAAATAAGGGTTGAGTGGGTGCTGCATGGCTGAGTGACGGGCCAGGGACCAGAACAAACAGGCAGAGTCCTGCCGGCTTCCATAAAACTGTAAGTCTAAGTTCTCACCAACATGAAGCCTCTGAAGGGTTTTAAGCAGAAAAGTGACCTGTGTGATCAATAATATTAATAGTATTACTGCAGCTGCAACGTGGAAATGGAGAGAGAGTGACACTGCAAAGACCAATTAGGAAGCTACTGACCTCACAGGCAATATCAGACACCATACCACAGAGAGACTATGGAAATGGGAAAAGGAGAAATGAGTGGAGAATAGAAATCAACATGACTTGGTATGGATTAATGGGTTAGGGGAAGTTAGCTAAGGAAGAGGAAGGTGCTAAATATGACTGTGGGTTGCTCTGTCTGGAGGGCCCGAGGCATGATTTCTAACACAGAGCACTAGAGAAGGGCAGAAGGGGAGTGCCACAGGAGATCAGAAGTTGGCTCTGGGTCATGTTCAAAAGTACACTTGTATGGGATATTCAAGTATCAGGAGTCAGTAAGAGAATCCTAAAGTTCACCAACGAGGTCACTCAGGACTGGAGAGAATGTGTTACATGTGTAAGTCACAGCTGAAGCAATGGAAACAGCTGAGATGAAGCAGGAAGCAGATAATCCCAACTCACAGGGTCTGCTCTTCGACAGCTACAGTCAGAACAAGGGAAGGCTGCTCTGTAGCTTAATTTTTGTGCTATAGGAGGTTGTTGCTGTGAAACTGTCCTTTGCCCCACACTCTATGTTAATATCAAACGAGTTACAATGAACAGCGTTAATACATGTTTCTTAAAAATGTTAAGGCAAAGAACACAACTAGTATTAGAAATAAAACAGAACAAAATGTCCCAGGAAAAACCTAAGAACAAAAGTAACTAAAATAATTCTTTCTACTTTCACTTTTTCCCAGCCTATCACTGTAACTCTGCCTCAACATGTTTGAGTTCATTTCTGATTTTAGCTTGTTCAGTATCTGTGAGATGTGTTCACTCATATTTGTATGTATTTACATGATGCAAGAATAAATATATTTGCAATATATTTATATATGGCCTTGAATGTATCTTCTTCATGGCTAATGAAATGACAGCTCTGAGAGGGTAGCTACCACCTAGCAAAGCAGGCATAATGTACCCATCACTAACTACTCAATGGATAGTGTGGCCTTCCAGGATATCCCATGCACACAAATGCATGAAATGTAAAGGAACCCTGTACTTATTTTTGTTGTATGCTCATTTCAAGTTTTGATTTCAACCTTTGCTTTACCAACGTTAATGAAGTAGATATTTCACTATGTTCTAGATTTAGGACTGTCAACCAATGTAATGGATTAACCCATTATTCTGCTATACTGAATAAAAGTGTTTAGATGTAAGGTAGAGCTTACCTTCAGATGTGCTAAAAACAGTGTGACTCTGCTTAAAAAAAGATGTGTACTTTATATTGTTTATTGAAAGAGCTCTGCTAACATTTGTAGATGAAGGGGCAACAATCCATGAATTTGCTAGAGATTCACTGTATCTCAATACTGTAGATGTTAGAACTCAATATATAGTAAAGGGAGTGCCCCGCCAGTGTTATTAATGGGGATTTTTAAATGGCAGTGTATACTAAGAAAACATGATATGGCAGGATCCCAGTCCTGACAGAACAGGGTGTTTGGCTGTTTCCAGTACTGAGTCTTCACCCAGAGAGTAAAAGTAAATTGCTATGGACCATGAATTAATGATTAAGGATTAATGAACATAAGTGACAAATAGGCTATGAACAACTTTGTAGCAAAAGTTAGATATAATTTTTGTACAACTTAAGAAATTAATGCATTTATATTTGAGACTAAATTTTGATGACACATAATAGAATGGAAATTAGAATTTATTCATCTACTTGCCCGAGTTTGACTGTGAAAGGCCAATGCAGAAACACAATAAAACCACTGGACTACAAGGTGTTATTGCTATGTCTCTCCTCCAGTTCCATATATTAGGAGCACTTGGTTATTGATAGATTTAATTAATGTTTAGTTATTAAGCACATATTAGATTTTTAAGTTATTTTTAACAACAATCACCTTCCATGCTGATCCAAAAAAGGAACCAGTAAAAACATAATCTGTTCCAGAGATATTAGCACAGGAGCCATCAAACCAATGGATGCACAGAATAATTACCAAGTTCATGCAAAGCTTTTGTTATAGCAGAGGATGATCTTGATGGAAAGCATTGCCAACATTCTTGTTTACGAAGCACACAACGAATTCAGACCACAGAACAATAAATGTTAGATTACCACTGCACACTTGTACAACATATGCCAAGCTATAAGCACATAACAGAACAGGCACAGAAGAAAGGATTCCATTTTGCCAGAGAAGTTTCAAGAGCAGAAGGGTAGCACAAAGGAAATACCTTAAGATCTCGCCTCTCCAGTTGCAAAAGTTCAGCCCCTCTGATGTCATGGCGGATGAAGATTTCTTTGTACTCTCCCAAATTGAGCAGATCCAGCCAAGCAGCAACTTCCTCTGTGCCCCATTTCTGAACTACCAAAGTTAAGAGCAAAACCCCCTTAATTTCTACATGCTCAACGCATTACAAAGCAAAAGTTGGCCAAACAGAGCACAGCTGCAGCTAGCAAAGGAAAGGTTAAAGGTGTTTTTTCAACAAAACTCCAATTCAGTTATTTCCCATGCAGGTCACATACCACCAACCAACACAAAGGTCTGACTTTGAAGACATTCGTTGCCGTGCACCATGCCTTTACCTTCTTTTCAGTTTCAGTAAAGCAACTTATCCTATCCAGGCTGTATTAGAAACACGATTTTGACCCTTAGGATCAGTGAGTGGTCCAAGGTTTACACAAACTCTGATGAAGACTATAAGACCATGTATGAAAAGTTACCATTGGAAATAAGCTATAAAAGCTAAATTAAAATCTAAAGCATGATGTGGTGTGTTCCATTTTATAACAACTTTTCTGCAGCAAGGTCTTGGTGAAACTGTTACCTTTATTCATTATACTGCTACTGATAATTATAACAAATGTGCTATTGAACAAATTTAATAACATTTAAAAACTCTCAACATTTGTCTTTAGGAGGATTTGCCTTATGTTATTTTTTCACGCTGTATAATTGTTCTTATTCATTTTATTCAACAGTGTTTAGCCTAATAAAAGCCTATTTATTTTCTGCATTTTGCTTTTAAATGTCATTTTATGTCTGCTCTATGTATGAATACTATCAGCAAGGTACCTTACCTCTTTTTTTTTTTTAAGAAAAATCAGACAGCTAGCTAAGAAGAGATTGTAGCATGATTTAATTCTGAAGTAATACTGTTACATACATAGAATGGGAAGGTGTTTCAGTCCTAAAAGTGCAGTGAATTAACAATCTTGAAGGAAAGGTAGAAAGGGAAGTGAAAAGTAGCAAAGAAAGCTTTCATCTTGGTTTGAGAAAGCAAGTATCAAAACACACTGCTGCTACCACGAGCCTGAAACAGTGTCCTTCAAGATGGGAAAAAAAAAAAAAAACACTAAGCAAGTTAAAGGAGTACATGAAAGTTTTTAATTTCCATTGAGCAGAATGACCAAGAGTTTGACTTTTGAAGACAAAGAACAAGTTCACACTGATGCCATGAGTTACTATGGCAAAATGAAAAGATCCACTCAGACAGACAAAGGGACATCTGCCAGCAAAGCAAATCAAAGTGGCAACTACTTCATTTTCTTATTTGCTTCCTCACTACAGACTCCTGCTGATACACTGACAAATTCTACATGTGGTAAGCTATCTTAGCATCCACATCAGCCACTTTAAAATGTTCAACTCAATGATATTTAGAACATCCACAATGCTGTACAATACACACCACTAGCTCCAGAACACCCTCATTAGCTTGGGGACTTCACTTTAATACATCATTCTTCTCATTATCACACTCTCCTTTCCTACTGGAGGGGACCACCTACCAGGCTGGGAACTGGCCTTCTGCTTCGGAACCTTGTCCTTCTTAAATTTCGGCACTATCCGAAACACGGTGCTTCTGCTGTTCCTTTTGGTGCAATCCATAGGGGGCTCCTGTTGAATTGAGTAAGGTCAATACTTACAGCAAGACGTAACAGAAATAAGTTATAAGCACTGAACACTAGAACAGTGACTGCTTTGTTCAAAAAAGTTCATGATATACTGCATTGCCGAAAGATACTAGTAAATGTCTTTGTTCACAAACATATTTTTCCTGGCTTAGATCAGTGCCTTTAGGCGCTGCCACTGTGGTGCCACAACTGGAGCACTGGTTCTAGTCCTGATAGCTCCCCTTCTGATCCAGCTTCCTGCAAATGCACCTGGGAAGGTAGGATGGCCCAACCACATGGATGCAGCTCCCCAAAGCAGGATTCAACCTCACACAGCCTCAGCCTTGCGGTCACTTAGGATATAAATAAGCGAACAGAGGATGCTCAATCTCTCTGTCTCTCTGTGTGTTTGTGTGTGTCCCTCTTGCCATTCTTTCAAATAAGTAAGTTAATCTTTAAAAAGATCAACACCTTTGATATTTTGTTTGTTGTTTTTTTTAAAGATTTACTTACTTTATTCAGCAAGGGGGCTGGGTAGGAAGTAAAGCAGTGGGATGCTAACCAGCATCTATATAGAGCTGCTGGTGCTGTAGGCAGCTGCTTAACATGCAGCACCACAGCACCTGTCCTAGATCAATGCCTTTGAAAGCAGTATTCAAAATTTATTTTCCTGGGCCAGTGCAGTTGTTCAACAGACTAATCCTCTGATTTGTGGTGCTGACACCCATATGGGAGCTGGTTCTAACCCCAGCTGCTCCACTTACAATGCAGCTGTCTGCTTGTGGCCTGGGAAAGTAATAGAGGAAAGCTTAGGTCCTTGAGATCCTGCACTCAGGTGAAAGACCCAGCAGAGGTTCCCGGTTCCCAGCTTTGGATCAGCTCAGCTCTGGCCATTGTGGCCATTGTGGGGGATGAACCAGTGGATAGAAGATTTCTTTTCTCTCTCTCTCTCTCTTTTCGCTATTATAAATCCGTCTTTCCAATAAAAATTATAAATCTTTAAAACATTTTTATTTTTAAAAAAATATCTCCTTTATAACACAGGTGGCAAATATCATTGTCAGATCTAGATTCACAAACAGGGTGAAGTTTACATACCTCATCCTCATTTGGGTGCAATATATAATAAAGCCAGGGGATCTCAGTCAGTTTCTGTAACTCCACCTCCACAGAGTGCAAGGCACTGGACACCCTCTCTTCGTGGGGAGACTCCAACTGCTATTTTCCAGCAGATTAAACACAAGATTCAGCGGCCAATCTCCAGCACAACAATCATTTTATCTTTACAGAGAGCATCCTCTCCTCTTATTACAAGAATTTTTTTTTAAAATAAAAGAACGAGCAAGTTAATTTTTTTTAAAGCATAAATCTTTTGCTTGCCTCCTCCTTTCCAATCATTTAGTTATTCGTATCTTTCTGCTCATTGGTGCCAAAACTACCTCAAATCTACACAGGCTGCTACAGGAATAAACAACAGTTTTGAAGTCGATCAACACCTTATCATATATAAATATAAAAATATGGCATATATAAATTATATAGACTTTATAAATATCATCAGGGCAAAACAAAAAACGTAACGGCTTATAATCTAAAATAGGCTCTGAATACTTTGGAGATAATCTAGCCAACTACTGCCCACATTTACCCACTCAAAAGTTGTTAAAATTCATTTACTGACACGTTTAATAACAGGGAAATACACACTACTATGCACAGAGCTGAAAGGTTGCTGCCTGCATCCTAGTTAGCTCTTGTTACTATCTGCGCACTATTAAGAGGGGTTAACTGATCTCAGGAGCCATCACTGCCTCTTCTGGACACAGCACAATGCAACCAGATTGTTTTCAAGGTCTCTTACAGCTTATCAATACTTATACACATTATTTTCAAATTCTTATTCATATTCATTCATAGAACTATAGACAGGTGAAAGAACTGTGCTGCTGTTTATTATGCACACTTTGTTAGTTTTGGATCCTTTGTTATGCAAGGTATCTACTGTATCCAGTAGTTAGTAAAAATAAGGCACTGGTCCATCATGTTGTACAAATTTGCCACTGTTTTTCCTAAAGTGTTAATTAAGCCTTAAAGAAAGTTATAAAATGGTAATGTCATATTCATTCTAACAGTAAAACAGTAAACTTTCGCTTTTCTACAAAGTCATCAACTATCATATCATTTTGGCTAAGGTTGTGGGAAAATTGACTGGTACCCATTTTAAACCATATATCCATACTTGACATGAATGGAAAAGTGAGGTTCCCTGTACATCTTAATAAAAAGAAAGCATTTCTACAAAGCAGCACTAAATGGATACTTTTGGTGTCAAGCACAAAGTTATGCTTCCAGCTCTTCTCAGAAATAACCTTAAACATTTCAGTAATACAAAAATAGATATGCTCTCTATAAAAAAATAGGACAGATGTCACCGTGGATTGATTTCCTATCGTACTTACAGTAGAAGAGTTGCAGAATAATCTAGTTACCAACAGTGCCAAAATTAGTCAAAAAGAGATCCCCAAAAAACTTAACCATCTTTTCCTCCTAGAAGATTTTAGGAAGTTTAGTAGTAGCCACTCCCTCTTGCGTGAGACTCCTGGGTTTCAGCTTCCACGACAAGGATAAGAACAACGGCCTTCACGCAGTCCCAAGACCTCTCACTGTGAGCAAAGGATGCTCGCAGGAGTAGTCAGTCAGCTACGCCACAATCAGATAATTCAACACTGTCACTTAACAGTTAGCTAGGCAGTGTGTCCTGCTTCCCAATATGCTAAGCATGGTGACTTTAGATCATGTTTATTGAGGTGAACATTTGCCTAAGGTTAAATTATTGTCAAGGGAAATGTTTTAGCATCACCACCAATCCATGAATCAGACTTCTTACTGAGAAGAGCTTTATACACAGGAACAACCAAGAACGAATATGCCACAATCAAACTCTAGGTGGCGACAAGATCTAATATGCTGGAACATTTGACAATGGTGAAGGATTTTTAAAGAAAGGTTGAGTTTGGGTTAATCACACAGCATGGGACTGCAGCATATTTGGTTGAGGTCCATGGAACACGGTCAGATTTCCACTTGGCCAATACTTGATATCCAGAGTCAATATGAGTTCAGCTGAGAAGACTTCTTAAAATTTCCCACTTGAAACACTGTGACTAAAAATGTCCTCTGCTATTCTGATCATATTTCAAATGTGAATTCATGCAATAAAACCATGAAACTCTCCTACCTTTGTGCCAAGTGAGTACCTGGGGACCATCCTCTGCACTTTAGCTAGCTCAAGTCTGCCGAAGCCGACTGGGGAGAGCGGGAATGCATCATGTTGTAATAGCATGCAAAGGGGAAAGTCTACCCCTGTCAGCCTCAAGGATAAACCCCGCTGTTAGACAAATACTTCTTAGAAGGCAAAAGTTAGAGGAAAAAGAAGATGCAAGGTTGGCACTTGGAGGCTGCTTCTACCTCACAGCCTATGGATGTCTCTTCCCTGGAAAGTGGGCCCACACATTTTTTTTTACCCCCAATCATCCTGGCGTTATCCATCTTTTCTTTTTTCTTACCAGAGGAACTCTGCCAACTAGCAAAGATTCTGTTTCATTATACAGTGCCTTCACATTGATGGCTATTTCAGTAGCGGTGTCTCTGGTAAGACTCTAGAAAAGAACAGTATCAAAGATACGCAGTTCTGAATTAAACTGGGAACCACCAGCAGTAAACGCTTTAAATTGTACTCTCATAAGTTAAACACCACAAAACATTAATGAATCCATACAAATTCTATTGGAATTGAGAAATCTTATACTTAGGTTTAACAGTATCTAAAAGTAACCGAAAGAATACCCTGACAGCAATGTATACACTCAGCATCACCGACATATACATGTTTCTATAAAGTAATATTAAAGAAAATTATGTCTTAGAAAGTATATTATCTGATTATAATCATAACTATCAACTTTGACTAAGTAGTTCCAACCAGATTATTTTTAACATCAACTGAATAACTAAATAGTAAAAATAGGCCACTAATGTTTATACTATAGCATGTATATATACCATATATTACAGCACATACCTTCTCCATCCTATTAATATCTACATCAAAAATTTTTAAGAAGTGTCAATTTTCCAATTTAGTAAAACAAAATGAATAAGGCAACATGTCACTTAAAGATGAAGGAACATCTCTAACAAAATATACATAGGAAAGAACTGAAGGAAGACAGAAGATGACTGACTTAAAGAAAAAGAATTTAAGGGTAGAAATAGAAGGAAAATCAGAAAATTTGGATACAATTCTTCTGGCAGAGGCTCAGATTAACGATGTAAGTTTCTTTCACAAGGTGCGCCATATTTTATAGTACCGAGATATACACGTAACATCAAAGAATGTGTGGGATGAGGATTTACCATTAGATCCTCACCTCCGGGCACCGTGGGTTGGCTTTGTTCAGCGCATGTGAGCACGCATTGACGGCGTGGGCCAGTTCTTGCTCCAAAAGACAGTGAATTGTGGCTGCATCACATATCCTAGAAGCAAAAATGACACAGATAGAGTCTTTTAAAAAAACAAAGCTTTGCTGATTTTTCTTTGTGAAGTATACAACTAGTAAGATAAAAACAAGTAAAAAAATACACAAAGATTAATAAGGAGGACAATTTGTGACTATTGAGTTATCAATGACATTTGATAGATTTATAAAATTCAAACACCACCGCGTTTTTGAAGATTAAAACACAGAATTTGCAGAATCATTGGCAAGTGTGATACGTTCAAATATTTAGCATTTGATGAAAATTTAAATACAACTGACTTGGGGGAAGCATCCTTCATATTTATCATCTATATGTTAAGAGCTTTGAAACACTATCCAACAATATTCACAACTTTCAAAGGCAGCTGTGGTTAATTTTTTAAATTTTTTTCCACTTATTGATGAAGATACAGAAATGGAGTATATATATACACTGTAAGTGGTAGTGCCAAAATTTACCTTTGTCTATTCAACTCATCCTAATATGCTACATACCACTGATTTTAAACTTTCAAGAAAAGTCCTAGAAAGACAAAGTTCTGGAAGACAGTAAAAAAGAAGACAGATGGAAGACTTCTACTGATTGCTGGAAAATAATGTATGGCTTACAGGTGAACAAGAATGCAATATCATTCCAACACTTCCTTACTTCTTGCAACACATTCAAGGAGACTGGCTGTCAACACGATCAGGCTAGAACAGGAAAAGGAACAGAGGCCTGGTTAACTGAACCAAGATCCTTTAGAATCTCAAAACTGATAACCATGGCACTGTATCACGTGCAAATGAACCTCACTATTATTACTCATAACCTTGCGACAAAGAGAATGGGTTATTCAGAAGAGTAGAGATAGGTAAGGGTGACTAATTTTCAAAGGCAAGGCATAAACAATTTCAGATGAACATTTATGAATCTCCCTCAGGAATCTGTTAATTTAGATTCTTAACTTCCACATGGAACACATCATTTTCCCGATCCAAACTGCTCCTCTTCCTGTCAATCATGATATGTACCTTACTACTAAAACATTTCTCATTATTCACATTTGGTAGACAAGATGTAGGTGAAGAGGAATTAAAGAATTTTCCATGGTCTTCCTTCCCTTCCAAAGTTTTTTCTTAGTTACAGTGATTTTGATATGATTTATACTCAGAGAACACATTTATCTATTTTTCTTCTGCCTACCAAAATTAATTTGTGTGTGCTCTAGAAATATCACCTTTGTGTGTCAGAACCTGATCTTTTGGTGCTTAAACCTGCAACTACCTTGGGAAATGGTTCATGTTTATATTTCTTTTTACAGCCCATAAACACTGAGTTAGCTAGAACATAATATGTAAATGGGCAACATAATGTAAAGATCATACAAAATAAGGGAACAAAGAGGACTGCGCGGTAATTCAGTCACTGTGTTTCAGGAAGTATAGGATTTGGACTGTGGAGAATACACAGGTGTTTGGATGTGTGTGTGCAAAGGACGATACTGAGGCATGACTGAGGCAGCAAAGAAGGAATCCAAGTCTTTTAGCTACTGCCTACAACAGAAACAGTGTATTCAGATTAAAAACAACAACAACAACAACAACAAACCAGAGCGAGAGAATGGCTAAGCCCACAGTTTTCACACTACACAAGCCAGTGGAACCAGCATACCTAGTAATGAGCTCCTCTGCTGCCTGGGAGCACAGCTGCATCTGCGACACCTCTTCCGTTGCCAAGTCAATAGCATGCTGGAGGTACAGATGGGTTCGGAGAACTGGTTTACCAGAATCACACTTCTGTTTGTCTTCCCAAGACTTTAGGGTGTTTTCAAATGCCTATTTAACATCAACATCACCATGAATAGAGCTCTGAGCCCCATGTCAACGTGAATTTACATCTTACATGGAATGTCTGAAAGCACAACTGCATTTTCTCTAATTTGACACTTCGTTAAATAAATTATAAATAGTTAACGATTCGGTGAGGACAAATATATCACTGAAAAGGAAAGATTTTATGCTTCAATCTTTAATCAACTATTTTATATAAGCTATAGATGGCATGAATATATTAGTCTTCTTTTTCAAGAATTGATCTTAAATAAAAACACATATTCCAGGAAAAGCTAGACTCTGGAGACATGACCAACGCCTGCCAGGAGTCAGGGTCATGGAGGAAGGGATGAACAGGTGGTCACAGGACAGCCTAGGCAGTAAGCCTGGTGCCTATGCAATGACAGATACCAGTGACTACCCGTCTGTCAAAATACAGCAGATGTACAACACATATAATAATGTATTCCGTTAGGAATAAGGTATCAATATTGGCTCATAAATTGTATCCCAGATGCTAAAATGATAACAATAGGGACATTTACAGGGGAAAAAGGAAGGAGACACACTGTAAGAGAATCAGAATAATCTGTATTTTCTGCTTATTTTTTTGTAAACCTAAAACTGTTCTAACAACGACTGCATACAAGTTTAAGACAAAAAAAGAAATAAATATCTGCTCACATTTAAAACCTCAATAGCCTAAATGTCCAATTGAAGAGGTAATAGCAATTTTTTTATAACAATGTAAAAATTTTTAATAAGTAGCTTAGTAAAATTCTGGAAGATTTTTTTTCTGTTACGTACTCGGTCTCTGGTTAGCATCTGAGCTCTGTTTTTGTGCACAATTTTGATAATCCCTGGAGGCTGGACCCAGGCTTCTCCATCCACCTGTACGGGGACTCCCTCATCACCAAATATAGTGATCTTCACAGTACGACACTGTAATAAAACAAACAAGTTATTTTAGATTGCAAATTGCCCTGAGAAATGGATATTCCATCCATATCCTGGCTGGATTTGCTAGTCTTTTCTGTGAAGAACATGCTAGTCATTACCACACACAATACATGGTAACCACTGACAAGGGCAAGAAAGTCAACATTTTACACTTGAACATGCAGTGCAGAGTCCTAGCTCTCCCCCACCCCACACCCTCTGTTGCCCAAGAAATGCAGTCAGCGTTGACTAGAGAAACCATAACCTGGGCTATTCGATGATGCTGCAGTTTGATGACCCTCGAGACCGCCATTTGCATGCTATCAAATATCGCAACGACTTCCAGGATCTTGTCGTCAAAGGATGGTGCAGCAAATATCTGAAAGAAAAAGGGCACTTGCTTCCACTGAAGGTTTAGGCGAAGTGGCAGCAGGTGATGCAAGCTCTACACTACACGTATGTTTTAAGACCTATGTAAATAGTAAGTAAACAGTACTAGACAGTGACAACTCATGGAGAAAGTTATTGAAGAGTGCTTAGAAGAAATGCAATTTAAAAAAAAAATTAAAAATCCACAGGTATTTAGTACTCAAACCTCTTTACCTTTTTAAAAAAAATTTTTGCCCATTTAAAAAAATTTTATTTTTGATGGTTTACATAGTTGAGATCTTTGATTTCACATTTTCTTTTCCTTCTTCCTGCATCTGGATGAAAGGGAGGGGGACAAGGGGAGAAACCTCCCAATCAGCTCAGCACCCAGGGATGGGGAATGGCCACCTGATGTTATCCCCAAGTCCCCAATATGGAGCATGCCCCAAGGGTTCTGGCTCAAGTGATTTTGATAGTTTTGAAATGCTGTCGATCTTGCAGATGCAAGGATGAGGATATCCTTCCAAGGTCCACTGGTTGATACAGTCTATCTCTGAGTCTCCATTTGCTCAGATATTTGCTGTCATGCTTCACTGGGGTAGTTGATCATTTTGCTCTGCCCTCCTTCCTCTGCTATGATGCCAGGTGTCCTCTGCAGGCTCCACTGAGCTGACCTATCTTTCATGTGCCTCTGGGTATGCTGTCCACTGCACCAACTAAGCCACTGTGGAGGTCCAGTTTGGATAAATGCACTCCATTGTCAAACCACAAGTCCTATCACTCTCCCCAGAGTTGGAAGTTATGAGTCCAGCGGTTTAGTTGGAGGGACCCTCAAAGAAATCTCATCTAAGATGATCTCAGACCTATCTCTTGTGTGTGAACCCACCTGTACAGGGTCTATCTAGTTTGTTCTGTCACCACATCAGCCTACTTCCATACAGGTAATAACATATCTTCAGCCCCATTTCTTACACAAACCAATGGGTGCTGTGGCCCAACCCTGCCCTCCACACAGCAAGCCCTCACATACACCATCATGAGCTGCAGCCCAGTCAGAGTGACCCCCAGTAAACCCTACTGCGCTGGTCCCAGCCCTGATTTCTGTATCTGCTGAGCACACACACCTTTTAAAGAAAGGGATATTGTAAGCAGTATGTATATGTACTCTGTATTACTACAGCAATTTTTAGGCCATGTAATAGATTTGAGGTTAAAAATCATATAGACTATAAATAAACATTAGATGCATTTCCATTAAATTTGTTTACTTTTGTTCAAAAGAAAAGATTATTCATTTAAAAGAGCAAGAAATAAAAAGATATATCTTCTACTTCACTCCTAATAACGAGAAGTGGGTGAGGCTCAAGCAAGGAACCCAAAACTCCATCTGGTTGGCAGAGTCCCAAGCATGTGAGTCATCTAAATCCAGGGTGTACTGACAGGAAGCTCGATTAAAGATGAAAAAGAAGGAACTCAAACCAGCACTCCAATACGAGATGCAGTAGTTAACATACTGTGGCATAGCATACTTAACACCATGCCCATTAAGACCAGAATACATTCATCTCATAAAAATTACAAGTATTTTTCAATTTACTGTCTACCTTAATTCTTGTTTGTTCATTTATTTAAGAGCTAAGACTATAGGATCAGAGACCACATAACATGTTAAGCTTCAAATCTGAGTCAATGCATTTCACTCTTACAGTAGACTGTGATAACCCTACTCATGTGCTACATATATATAATAATATATATATTAATACTTGTTCCCCCTCATTCATTCTTTGGAACAACTACATTTGTGAAGCATCTCTCTCCTTTTTTTTTAAACACAGAAGAACATTAAAAAATATTCTTAAATTCCATCACGTAAGTGGACCCTCTTGATATTTTTACAGATACAAATAGTAATTTATACAGAAACTTAGTCAAAATACAGATCCTATGATAGGTAGAACAATGCACCCATCCCGACCCCAAAATGTACATGTCCTAATCCCTGGAGACCGAATTTGCTACTTTACATGGCAAAAGGCATTTCGTGTGTGTGATTCAGTGAATGGTGGAGCCACTTTGCTGGCGAATGTGGGCAGGAGATGAGAAGAGAGAGTTGGCCAGGAGGGGATAGGGGACAGTGGTGCAACAGGAGGTTGGTTCAGTCTCCTTCTGTTGCCTCTGAGGATGGAAGGAGCCATGTGGCCTCTCTGAAGAGCTGGAAAACTAAAGCTCAAGATTCTCCACTGGGGCTACCAGAAGGAACACACAGCAGGTGACCATCAGTGTGGCCACCTCAGACTCCTGCCAAGTGCAACTAGGAGACAAAATACGTACAAGTTGTACAAGTTGCTGAATTTGTGTTAATTTGTTAGATCAGCAGTAGAAAACAAATACAGACAAGAAATTTTAAAAAGTAAACACCAGTGCAGGCACTTGGCACAGTATTAAAATGCTGTTGGGACACGTGCATTTGATACTGGAGTGCCTGGCTAGAATCCCAGCTCCATTTGTGGCCTAGCTTTCTAATATATACCAAGGGAAGTGGCAAAAGATAGTTCAAACCCTTGGGTCCTTGCTAACCACACTGGAAAGCCAGATTGAGTTTCTGACTCGAGGCTTCAGTTTAGTACAACACTGGCTACTGCAGGCATACGGGAGGAGATTCGATGAATTTGAGATCTCTATCTGCATCTCTCAAATAAAAATGAAAATAAAATATTTTTTAACACAAGTGAAATATTCTTCAGGTCCTAAATTTATATTGCAAAATTAGATTCTATTGTTTTCTCTTCCTTCCTTCCTTTCTTTTTAAAGGCAAATATACAGATAGAAGGAGATACAGAGAAAGATCTTTCCCTCTGCTAGTTCACTTCATAAGCGGCTGCCAGAGCTGAACTAATATGAAGCCAGGAGCTTCTTCCGGCTCTCACACAAAGTGCAGGGTCCCAAATCTTTGGGCCGTCCTCCACTGTTTTCCCAAGTCACAAGAGGGAGCTGGATGGGAAGTGGAGCAGCTGGGATATGAACTGGTGGACATAGAGAATCCCAATTGATACAAGGTGATAATATAACCAGTAGGTTTTTGTTCTGGACCTGATTCTATTGTTTGAACAGAAAGTTTAAAAAGTTGTTTTAAATTTATTTATTTATTTTTATTGGAAAGTCAAGAGTTAGGGAGAGGAGAGAGAGAAAGATCTTCTGTCTGCTGGCTCACATTCCCCCAGTGGCCTCAATGGCCAGAGCTGAGCAGATATGAAGCCAAGAGCTTCCAGGTCATTCATATGGGTACAAGGCTTTGAAATATCCTTTACTGCTTTCCCAGACCATAAACTAGATGGGAAGCGAAGCAGCTGGGATACGAACCGGTGCCCATATGGGATCCTGGCACATGTAAGGTGAAAATTTAACCATTAGGCTATTGTGCTGGGCCTGAAAGTTTAAAATTTTACTTTTAGAGGTTTGTATTGATATAAAATTTGTATTGATATAAGATTCATTTTTATCAGAAAGGCAGCTTTACAGAGAAAAGGAAATTCTTTTTCCATCCATTGGTTCACTCCGCAAGTGGTTACAATGGCGGAAGCTGAGCCGATCTGAACCCAAGAGCTTCTTCCAGCTCTCCCAAATGGGTGCAAAATCTCAAGGTTTTGGGCATCCTCAATTGCCTTTCTAGGCCACAAGCAGGGAGCTGGATGGGAAGTGGAGCAGCCAGGACACAAACTGGTGGCCATACAAGATCTTGACACACGCAAGGTGAGGATTTAGCCACTGGGCCATTGCGCTGGGCTCCATATGTTACATTTTATGGGGTACGTTACCAATAGCTCAACACAGTATCCAGTTTAATTTAATTATCCCAGGCAAGTAGTTCTTCCAGTTTCTTCATTGAGAACCACAGCTACCCTCTGTTTTGAGGGTCACCAGAACCCATAGACTTCACTCAGATAATTTCCATCATACAATGCTCCCTACATCTCAGGATGAAGCACATTTATATATCCAACAGGAAAATCTTTAGATGATATCCACAGTACGCTGTAATAAAATTTTCACGTAAATGTATTCCACCTTCGCCTTGCCAAAGTAACAAAGTTCTACCGCGGATTAATTCATATTATATATGAAATATTTTAAAAAATATTACAGGAACAATTTCAGCACTTTTTGAAGAAACAAACTACTTACTGCTATTGTGTTACTTACATCGTCCTCTTTGGTGCCACCCCAGAAGTTGGTACCTCCGGCATAGCTAGGGATGTTCAACACTGCTATGCCTTGTAGACTGGGGAGGGGGATGTACTGCCCATCGCACTGGAAGATAAAAGACCCGGAGGTCACACGAAAAGAACAACACCATAGACAAAGATGAACAGAGCAAAGGATGCTGGTAACACCACACATTCCTTTTCTTTTTAAAGATTTTTTTTTTTTTATTGGAAAGGCAGATTATATTATAGAGAGAAGGAGAGACACCGAAAGATCTTCCACCCACTGATTCACTCCCCAAGTGACTACAACCACAAGAGCTGAGCCCATCTGAAGCCTATACATTAGAAAGGCCTGATACTCTTAGCTTTTTAATTTTAAAATAACTAAAACTATAAATAGATTCAATAGAAGATATTGTAAAAACCTGAAGCTAAAAAAAGTTTCCCTCCTTCTTTCCTTGAAATCAGGCTCCCTGGGACAGTCTCACTTTGATTAGGGTTTTGTCCATCCTTGTGCCGCATGCTTTTCAAAGGTGACCACAATGCTCAGCATGAGGCCCCACACACCCTGCACAGCCCTAGTACCCTGCCCCTGTACGCTATCCAACTCTGACGGGCCTAACCCAAAGGCCAGGGTTTCAAGTAGGCAGACCTAAAGTTTAAAAAAAGGGTGCATGTTAGAGAGAAACTCCTTGCCTTCTAAATGATCACTTACATAAAAATCAAGTCACCATTTAAATAAGAAATACACAGAGGTTGTTGAATATGATACGAATACATTCTTATGAATTAGAAACAGAATGCTGTCTTTTCACAAATGTTACTTCTTTATAAAGATGCTGTTTATATAAAAGGCAGAGTTGACACAGAAAGGAGACAGACAAATAGAGAGAGAGAGATACAAAGAACCCTCTGTTCACTGGTTCATTCCCCAAGTGGCCACAGATCCTTAAAGGTCTCCCACACGGGAGATGGCCACATCCCATGTCAGAGTACGGCTCATGTTCAAGAGGCTGCTCCACTTCTCATGCAGCAACCTGTTAATATGCCTGAGAAAACAGAAGATGGCAGGAGAACCTGGGCACCTGCTATGCATGTCAGAGACCCAGAAGTAGCTCCAGGCTCCAGCTTTCGGCCTGGGCCAGTCCTGGCTGTTACAGCCATTTGATGAGTGAACCAGCGGCAGAAAGGATTTCTTTCTCTTTCCCTTCCCACCTCCCCATCACTCTGTCGAATAAATCTGAAAAACATCACTCTTAATCCCAAATAAATCTAAAAAACACAAAACAACAAGAAGTCTGTGTCTCCATTCATAATACAGGGAAAGAAAAATTTGTCTCAGGAATCCAGAGAACTTTTTTATTTGTTTGTTCGTCAAGGACAGACACAGAGGAAGGTATCTCACAGTACAATGTGGTACAATGCAGGTCTCTCCTCCAACGTCATCCCATGGGAACCAGCACTAGGCAAAGGAATTTTACACAGCATTACTCCCGCAGAATGAAAATGTTTTTCAGGGCTGGCACGATGGCACTTTATGCTAATCCTCTGGCTACAAATGTCAGCATCAAATATGGGTGCCAATTCAAGTCCTGGCTTATCTACTTCCAATGCAGCAATCAACAAAATACTGTTCTGACTCAATAGATAAAGAGTCAAAGTTACAGGCCTGGCATAGTGGTTTAATTAGCTAATTCTCTCACTTCAAGTCCCACATTCCCACATTCATGTCATGGCTGCTCTAATTCCTATCCAGCTCCCTGCCTGTGGCTTGGGAAGTAGTGCACGATGGCCCAAAGTCTTGGGACCCTTGCACCCAAGTGGGAAATTTAGAAGTCCCTGGCTTCAGATCAGCTCAGCTTCGGCATCTGTGACCCATGGGGAGTGAATCAGCAGAAGGAAGATCTTTTTGACTCCACTCTCCATAAATGTGATCTGCCTTTCCAAGAAAAGTGTTTTTTTTATGGTTAACTTTTAACTAGGGCAAACAATTCTCTTTTTCCGTTTTACTTTTCTATGGTTTGATCTACCTTGTTTTACTAATCTTATTTTCATTTTTTTTTTTTTTATCATGTGGCATAGACTTTCTAGGGAGGGTTCTTAACATGAAGTCCGGCAGCCAGGAACTTATCAGCAGAGTTAGAGGGCTGGTAAAATATGATGGTTAAAACATGTGTTTTTATGCTCACCACCCTCTGAGATTCAGCCTAGGCCTCCACTGTCAGTGTAGGTAACCAATCAGCCACTGCCAACGCTTGTGACTGCGCTGTCAGCAGAAACAAACACGGGCACTCTGTGTCACATTACAGATGTTCCAGACACCCTCATTGCTACTTTGAAATAATGGAAATAAAGAAAGACGGTGGAGACGTTACTGGGTTTTAAATTTGATGTGGTCATTATAAAACAGATGTACGAACATTACTCTAATCATTTTAAATACTTTGTTGGTTTGTTTTAATGTTCTTTGTTTCCTTTCTAATTTCACGTACTTTATACAATGCTCTTAAAAATGATACTCAAAAATGCGCCTACTGGCTCACCACAATGTCAGAAGAGTCCACACTTCAAAATTAAATCTTTTAAAATAGAGAGTAAAAACACAGCCATCTGGGTTCAAAATACGTGCTACCAGCAGGAACAACTACAAATCCTGTGTCTGAAGAAGACAGGCATGAAAGCCAACCAGCCATCTGGGTACCAGACAGTGCCCTAAGTCTTAAAAATAGTAAACTCCGCGGATTAATGAAACTATTTAACAAATTATGGTGAAAGCACCATTTCCTTGTCTGCTTCGTCCTCAGTCAGTGCTAAACACTAGGGCCACGGAAGACAAACACAGTTCTCACCAGATTTTACACAGCACGGCAACCGAGAGGTGCAGATGAGAAAACAAATGCTTGTATAAAACAATGACATGGAAGCCAATGAGGCCACCCTGGGATGGTCTAGCAAGGGTGACATTTATAAACGTGTGAACTTTTCTGAACCAGCAACTCTTTCAATCAGTAACATCTATCTTGATTTTATAAGCAAGGATAAATTAAAACAGATGATCGGGTAGTCATACTTTGAGGGTGTATGGCACCCTTGTCTTCACCTGGGCAGTTAGTTAATCATAGGTACGCCAGGAAACCCTTTAGTCTACCTTTTAGTCTTTAGTTAACACCTAAAATAACAATGCTTGGTTTTAAAGTACTGACCAGAGCTCATGATTTATATACTTTCAGACTCATGATTTATATACTTTTATGAATGTATGCTATTATTTCATTTAAGATAAATGGTGATCAAAAAAACAAAAACAAAAACAACAAAAATCACACAGTACAGGAAAACTTGCCTATCAACATAAACAGTCAGCTCTAGGCTAGGGACAGAAGAAAATAAATTTAAAAAAAAATTAATAGTCATTTCTGAGCCAAGTTATTAGAAAAACTAAAATCCTTAGAGAAATATTAGAGAAACTAATATCCTTAATTCCCTCTTAAGTTAATTTAAAAACACTACAATAGAGGCAGGCATTTGGCCCGAGACACCAGTTGGCATGCCTACGGCCTATACCACAGGCTGGAGCTTGTGTTCTGTCTGTGCACACTCGGGGAAGTGGCAGACAGACCTCAAGAAGCTGGGGCCTTCCCATCCAGAGGGGAGACCTAGAATGCGCTCCAGGTTAACTCCTTGGCCACACGCAGGGCCTGCTGCCTTTGGGAAGTAAACAGCAGGTGAGTGCTTTTTTCCCTGTCTCTCTACCTCTCAAATCATATAAATAATAAATAGCAACTCTTATAAATAATACATATTTTATAAATTTAAATTTTATTTTAAAATAATGATTACCTGGTTCATCAGGGTATATAAATAATATTTTAAGGATATAAAAATATTCAGATTCTCATGAGTAATTTCTTTTACTCCTTGTTAGAAATCATTGAAAAAAAATCTATTTACATTAAAAGATTCTATTTGCTATGAATGTTACTATCAGGGACTTGTGAAATTTGGAACATTACACAATTGTGTCAGAATTTGGATATTTGAGTCAGAAAATTTAATCAAAATCCCAACCCATGTATGTGCTCCTGTGACATCACCGCCTCACAGCAGCCCCAATGTCAGCAGATAATGAGAAGGTCAACTAAGCTCACTCATACCCAGTATCTATACCTTCAGCAGCACAGAGCTGATGAGCCCTGGAGAAAAAAGGAAAGCCTTAAGTATTCAATAAAATCATAAGGAATTTAGGCGAAGTTAGCTTCACCAATTATCTTTCCAAGTAATATGATCTGAAAAGTTGGATATGATGAACTCACTTCAAGTTGAACCCTTTGTTCTAAGTTCTTGTATGATCTCTGTAACAACTCCCGGGTTCCAAGGACTCCATACCACATCAAGTTTTTGGTTCGGCTCCTGAAAAATACAATTGTGGCAATTTCAGGAAAATCTACTTTTTTTTTCCTCCTTAAAGGTAGAGCAAACAGAAAGATATTATAATAAATGGAATTAAAGTAAGATAGCCTTCATATAACAACATTATTATTATAACCATAATTACCTGCATTTTTCCGGGTGCTCTTCTCTCTTATTGTTAAATTCTAATGAGATTTTGGCATCTAATCCAATCCCAAAGTAATTGTTCATGACACATTTTTCTGTATATCCATCTCTATAATAATGAGAGGTACATAAGTCAATTTCACACACATTATAAACAATTTATACAAACATAGCACAGAAAGTAATTTAAGCATCTTCCAGTCCCCGTAGAAAATTACAAAGGTTAGCAAGAATAACTTCCCATTTTTATGCCATAGGATCAACCACAGTCCAGGGGTACAGACTTTTGGCACACAGGACACAAAACAACAGTGAGCCGAGCAGAGACGAGAGACCCATTCTCCTTTGGTTGTCCCAACTGTGTTAGCTTCTCCATCCCCCCATAGCTTCCTCACTACGCAAATGAGGGTGATTGGGGGATGGTCTTGGCAATGTGTATGATTATTACAAAGTCTCCTTCACTTCTGCCCTTAATAACGAGCCAATATTGATTGAGTTAAAAACACATCCCTCCTAGATTCTATGTCTGAACAAGGTTAAAGACAGTTCTGTCCTTGATGAATATCATTACTGAAATGATACAGTAAGAAGCAAAATGAAGAACTGAAGGACAAGAAACTACAACTCAACCTTTTTTTTCTCCTTGTGTGTTTTTAGAAACTTTGACAAGGTTCAGAGACTTCCTGACATAAACGGAGAAGCTGGACACGGAAAGACAACAGGATTGGTCGGACTGAGACGACAGGAGGTGAAGGCACCAACAGACACAGGGGTGAAGGGGCTTTGAAGTAAAATCCTCCGGGGCAAGTGAGAAGTGATACAGGTCCTCCACACGGCCACAGGCTGGAAAGGCCCCCATCTCAGGAACAGCCCGAGACCCCTGAATCTGAACGAGGTCAATGCGCTCATCATGATGAACTTGTGAAATTTTCTGATCATCTTTTTACACATGGAAACATACTTAGTATAATACACTTAATGTGTTACAAGGTCACACACAACTAAAACAAGAAAACAACAAATGTGCTGAAGCATATTCTTACAGGGAATCCAGATCCGGGTCAATAAATGGTGTGGCACCAAAAGGATCAACATTTGCTAGTAACATTTTGTTGATGATAGAACTCCCGGCAATTGAGGCAGCTAGTCCTGCTCTTAAACCTGGAGAAAAGATAAAATCCCACAGGGTCACTTGTTGAGAAACAACAGAGAACTAGTGTACTCAGGAATAACCTCAAACAACTTGCTCCCAAAAGCTTAGAGTTTTCTACTTTTCTCAACAATCAAAACTAAGAACTATGACACCTGTGGATACAAACTTTTTGATCCTTAACAGGTATCTTTCAGTCTCTCACTCTCTCTCTCTCTCTCTCTCACACACACACACACACAATCATAAAGAGTTAAGGATTTGAAGACTTAAATACATGTTACTTTTTTGTTGTTGTTGTTACAACAAGTAAGGTACTAACTCTGTAGGGAATTTACAGCAAAAACTGAATTACCCAAAATGTTGTAGACTTATCATTTGCATAGTCTCAGAGTTTAGACAACAGTTTAAATGTTAAAAGATGTATTAACATGAAAACTCAGCACCAAGCACAGATAGCAAAATATGAAATGTGAGTATATTAATGATTTTTAGGATACAGAAAAGACTACAAAAAAGAAGCCTTTTTCGTATCCCTGAAAATGCAAGACTATAAATTTATTTCAACACAGTTATGGTATTCAAAGCTAGTTTTAGGATTTCCAGCCTAACATTAAGGTTATAAACATTAAAATATGCACAGAACACAAGAAAAAGGAATATACAAGACTGGAGAAAAAGATCAAAATAGTCATGTAATTCAGAAATTCTAGAAAATCAGGAAAATATTTCTTGTGCAAATGTTCCTTTCCAAAGAGGGAATCTAAGAACTGAAATAAACTGAGCCAAAAACATTCTCCAAGGGATTTTTTTTTTAAAGAGCACATTTCTGGTGTGTAGAGATGCGTAATTACATATTTTTACAGAAATATTTAAGACTAAACCATACTTCAGTATCTGCCCTACCTGGGCAGATGATCCGGGTGTTGAGGACAGGGAGGTTTTCTTTGCTGGCTGCCACCGCTGGAGCAGGGACACAATCAGGTTGGGAAGGGCCACGACTTGTCCGGGAATCTGGGGACCGACACAGAGGCAAAAAGTCCAGATGGTACAAAGCTAACAGTAATGTTATCAAAATAAGTCAGCTCCTACACATGCAAGCCGTCAGATAACTGAACACCTATTCAGATCAATCAGCAGAACTGAAAAGAATCATTCTTTGACCATTCTGACTGGATGTTCTTGAGACTTATCTAGAAAAGATCTATCATAGTTGATATCTTGATCTCCAACTTCAAAAAGAGATCAGCAGCAACAGGTAATTTATCATAATTAAATTCAGTGATATTTATAATATTTGTGTGATCAACCAAACTTTAATATATGTAGAGGGGGGTGGGAGTTGTTAAGATGACCTGCAATACCAGATCCCATAAGGGCACAGGTTCAAGTCCCAGCTGCATCACTTCCAATTCCAGCACCCTGCTAATGTGTCTGCAGCAAATGGCCCAAGAACTAGGGCTCCTGCACTCACAGCTCTTGGCTTCAGGCTCCTAGCTTTGTCCACATTGTCAACCCTTGGCCCTGTGGCCATTTGGGGAGTGAACCAGAGGATGCAGAATCTCTCTCCCTCTCTCTCTCTCTCGTTTTCCATTGCTCTGCCTTTGAAATAAATAAATACACAGATATTTTAGAATTAAGGAAAATTTTGAAGCCTGATGAATTTTAAAAACGTGTTATAACATACATGACCAACATAACCCAATTCTGATCAATTTTGGGTGAGGATCCAAGTTAATTTATATAACTGCTAAAGCTAATCTGTGAAATATGAATTAACATTATCTTTTATCAATGAAGAAAATTAGTATTTATTTTCAAATGAAACCACTGACTTTTCCTGCACTTACTCAAAATGATGACTTTCCCCATACGAGTTCTATCATTTTCTTGTAAAATTTGATTCACTTTATAAATGGTTCCAAAACACAATTACTGTTAAAATAAATGACCAAAGAAAATTTAATTCTAACTAAACTTAGGCAATTTAATGGAGAACAAATAGTACCTTTACCTAATTGAAGGCTATTGATAGATTTTAAAAGCAGTAGTCCTTGAGCTCAATTTTAAAATACCCTAAAACTTAATTATCTTCACTTCTGCCAAGTTTAATTACAAACTAATTATATTAACCTTACACTATTCTCTTTGTTTAAAAATGGTCTAGGGCCCTGGAAAGAAATGACACATGAGCTTCTCTTTCCTAAGAGGCAGAAGTTCTGGGACCGACAGGAAGAACCTCTGGTGTTTAGCTCTGTTAAAAAGCAGAGCGCCTACAAATGACAAAGCCTCATGTTCTACTGCACATTAACTAAATTAAGGTTTCACAGTTCTTCCTGAATAGAACATCTCACGGATCACCACAACATAAAGCATTTCTTGCACCTCAGGCACATGATGCAGTGGATGCACGTCAAGGCAATGATGATTGCTTAGCACAGAAACACTCTCCCCCATGGTTGTTGATTTTCAGAAGTTGAATTACCGGCCACAATATCAAATACTGGGTCATTAAAGAACTTTCTAAATCTATGTCTACATTTATAGAGCTATGTTTGCGTTTTTTTCCCCCTCTTTCCCTCAGTTTTCTTTACAGACTTCAATGGGAGGAAGAGCTTAGCTTGAGGTAAGGTGGGAAGGAAGAAAGCTGAAGAGACTTTCTGAAGAGTCACTATCAAGCAGCATCCTATGGCTGCCACTGTCATGTCGGCTCGTTTTAGTCCACATTGTTTGAGAGATGAAGACATCTAAGGTTTGCTTATCAAATTCACAGATGTGACAAACTTGAGATGACAGGCTCACGCTTCATAAAGTCTCCATGGAATAAAATAATACATCCCAAACTTTTGAAGTTGAGCAACAGGATGCAAGGAGTGACTGAAGTAAGGAAAGGCCAAATCTTGTGCAAGGCATACAGCTTTCTTACAGTTATCACAGGATTCTGTAAGCTGAAACAGGTGTAAATCAGATGATTTTGTTGCATATTTCTTCCTCTCCTTTTTTTTTAGGGAAACAAATATTTAGTCATCCTTCGTCCTACAGTCCTTAGTGACTTGTTATATAACCTCGATTATATACGAGGGATGTGAGAGTATTTGATAATAGTCTAAAGAGTGCTACCTTTATATTATCATTCATGAAAACATTAATTTCCAAAGAGCTTTTCAAAAATTAAAATTTCTTATTTCCTGAACAGCAAAAGTGTAAGCAAAATTATACTTTATTTCCAGAATAACTTCATCATAATTTTCTTACCAGTTAAAAACTCTTTTGTGTCATAATCTCTCAGCTCTTCTTTAGATTCATCTGTTTCTGTACTGTCGTAATCAGATGACTGGTTAACTACTTCACAGGACTGAAGCGTCTGCTCGTCGATAACTTTAAGTAGTAAGAAGATAAAAATGTTTGGACAAATAAAAACAAAATCCATCAATAGTAACACATGCTGAGGAAAGGGAAACTGAAAAGTATATTCCAAAAAATTTCATATTCACAAATAAGAACACTTCAGCAATCATGTCAAGGGTTGTAAACACCAGGATGATAAAATGATAAGGTTAAAATAATAACAGCTTAGCCATGGTGGGTGCCATGGTGCTGGCTTCTGCATTTTATATTTTACTCTACTAAATATATCATTTTAACCTTATCATTTTATCATCTCTAGTGCCTATGGTACCAGAATCCCAACTGGGTGCTGATTCAGGTCTTGACTGCTCCAATTGCAATGCAGAGCTCCTTGCTAATGGAATGGAAAAACAGTGGAATATGGTCCAGATTCTGGGGTCCTACAGCCGTGTGGGAGACCCAACAGAGGCTCCTAGTGGCCAGCTCTGGATTGGCCCAGCTCCAGTCACTGCAGCCACTTGGGGAATGTACTAGCTAATGGAAGATGTCTCTCTTTGTTTCTCCTTTTCTTTCTGTAAATCTACCTTTCAAATAAGAACAAATCAAACTTACAAAAATACGGAATATTCGGGCCCAGTGCAATAGTATAGTGGTTAAAGCCCTCGCCTTGCACATGCCGGGATCCCATATAGGTCCAGCTTCCCATCCAGCTCCCTGCTTGTGGCCTGGGAAAGCAGTCGAGGATGACCCAAAGCCCTGGGACCCTGCACCTGCTTGGGAGACCTGTAAGAGCTCCTGGCTCCTGGCTCCTGATTGGCTCAGCTCCAGCCGTTGTGGTCACTTGGGGAGTGAATCATCAGATGGAAGATTTTCCTCTCTGTCTTTCCTCCTCTCTGTATATCTGCCTTTCCAATAAAAATAGATAAATCTTAAAAAAAAATATGGAATATCCAAATTTTAGATAGTGAAATACAAATCTAATCAGTAGTTACAATCTATAAAGGGAATTTTGAATATGAATTACCCAAATTAATGTTAGTTGCTACTAAAATTATACATATTAATTAAAAATTAAAATACAGGCTGAACTTTTATAAATAAACAACCTAAACATTTAGGAACTTAATGTTGTTAGTATTTTCTGTATCGGTAGAGTATTTTACAGGATGCATTTTCTTTATGAAATCAATTAAGTAAATTAGTCAAAATGTTGGAAATATTATTTTAGATAATTTTCTACTTTAGGCAGAATATACACGTTCTAATTTATTTCTGAGACTTTATCTGAGGCATCATCCATGCATTCTTTTCTACTAAATAATAGGGCTCAGCGCGATTTTCCTTTAGTGGTTTGAGCTTCTGAATTGCCTCAACGACTTTCAAAATGCGTTCCACTGAAGCGCTGTGACAGTCCCCGGCAGGTGCACAGGGCGCTGCTGCAATGCCGTGTTATCAGTGTGTACCTTTTCCAGCTTCTTCAATGACTTGCCTCACTGCTTTCTTTAAACTGTTCGCCCGCAGCATTATCTCCCTGTGTTTGCCAGATTTGGGGGAGCAAGGTTTTGTGATGTTATCCACAAGCTGTTCTTTGCTTTCCCACAAGGACTCTTCACTTGAAGATTCCACAGCATCCTCCTCCACGATGACTGGGCTGACATCCGGGTAGGCTGGGGCCTCTTGGAAGTCTGTGTGCAAGGCCTGCAGCAGTTCTTCCAGCTTCTCTTTCAGCAATGAACACTGAGAAAACCAAAAGCAGTTACAGGACAGACACCCTTAACAAGTAATAGCAGCAGGTGGAGTATAAGAACGCTTACTCTAAGACGGTACCATGAAATACAAGAACATTTGATGAGATATGAACGGCTGTCACCTTTCATATCATAGATGCTATAGTTTAGGATGTAGGTAAGATAAAAAGCTCTGTATTTAGTAGAGATAGAAAATGATAAATTAAATTAATGCCTTTTTTTCAAGTGGGAAGATGCCTATGTTGATATTTAGCATTAATTGGTTATCTATTATAATTTATACTTTAGACCTAATAATGAAAAATTTGTAACTTAAAACAGATTTTGACGCATACACTAATATGACAAAGAAATAATAGGAAAGGTTAGGTGTGGAATAAAGATTGTGATGAACACATCACACTAACACATCATGCTAACAACTGGTCAGCTGGTTTTGTAAATTGAAAATTTTATTCTTAATTAAAAATTTTAAAAAGAAAATAGGAAACAAATTAGCACAATTCTTATGTAAATGTGTAGAAGCAACCAGGCTTCATTTTTCATGGCTAAAAATCTGAATAATAACTGTATAGCTATTTTTTTCCTTAAAAAGCACAATAAATACTTTTCTATAAAGTCACACATTACAGGAAACATTACACATGAGCTGATAATTGTCACAGAAACTATTAAATACACTTTCTTCTTTTAGTAATTAACTTATGGACCACTTTTGAGCACCATAAACTGCAGCTCTGTCCGAGTCTTGGCAAGCTAGCCTCAGAAGCTTCGGTTTGTGAAGGAGCAAAAAGTACTAAAAGGATTACTGGTTCAAAGAAAAACTGAGAACAAAAAATACAGAAGGAAAAAGGGGAAACAAAGAGGTAGAAAACAAGCACCTGCCCTTCTTTCTTGCTGTGTTTCTCCTGTTACTAGCAGAGAGGACCCATTCAAGACCGACGCTGTTGATGCTACTCCCTGGCTCTTAGGTGCACATAACTTCCCTTGCTGCTTCGATAACATGTGCAGACAAATCTACCGCAGAAATGGGTTAGAGACCAAAGTGTAGCTAAGAGATGGTCTCTGCTTTCTGAAACCCTCCCCAGAGTATAAAGGTGATAGAAAGAGGATGAAGCCTTGAAATGTGTATTTCAACTTCTTTTTCCTTGCACTCAAATTACCACCTATAAAATAAATCTGAGGAATGAGTCTCCTGGCAAGCTCAAGGTACCTAAGTGTTTTATAGGTAGGCTCTGTCATGAACTTCTAAGAACAAAAGCAGTTATTGCTAACGTTCACAAAATTACTCTTATTTTAGCATCAAAAAGCTCATGGGTTGTAGGTTGTGTGTGTGTGGCAGGTGTGTGCGTGTGTGTGGTGTGGGGGAAGAACCTGCAAAGTAAAATTCAATGCAAGAGACACAGGAAGCCGAGGCATGGGGAAGGACTTTGGTTGGCCAGCTGGCGTGGAAACGAAAAGCCCACTGCCTGGCACGGCGGTCAGACAGCTGTGCCGCGGTCAGACAGCTGTGCCCCGGTCACGGATGTCAGTCACTGGGAAGGGTGCTGGCGTTCTAAAGCCTGGCTGTTGGACGGTTTTGTGGAGTTTGCCTATGCAGTATATGGGGATCTGTAAAGTAGCACAGCTTTAAAAATCCTCAGATCTGATTCAAAAACGCTTCCTCCCCCACCCCTCCTCAGGACTTGAAAAATGTTTGATAGAGAAAAAGCCACTTTTGTCAGCTTAGCTCTAAAGCACAGTTCAAGATTAACAAGGTCAGCAAGCAACGAATCCTCAAGAATCCTTACTTTGCTCGCCAGCGTATCGGTCTCCACAGTATTTTCCAAGGACCTGTCACAGGCTTTCTCTATTTTGGCTATGAAATCCCTTATGGTTTCACAGAGTACCCTTGGAGGAAAAGACATTGAACAACTCGGTAAACACAATAGGTGGATCTGTTTCGATTTATAAACACATTTAAAGATAAACACAATTAGGTAAACGGTCATCATATCTAGATGATTCTGTCTAGACTTAAATCTGCTGAGTAATGCATCTTAGATAAACTCAATATGTTTTTAAATTAAAAATGGATACAAGGATACACTTTGCTCTGTGTAGTTTTTATTATAGTAAATTCCATGTTGCCACGAGCCTTTCTCAAAAAATTCAGTTAAATTCTTAAGAAGACTACTTTCAGACCCTGATAAAGTACAGCATCATCTGGTACAGTGGATGTATTTTCACAGCAGAGTCTGCAATACTGAATGAACAAGGAAGAGTTCACCATTTATGCTGTCATTGTCCTTCTACTGAGTAGTACGTGGGCATTTTGAAAACACACTGCTCCCAAGAGGAAAGAGGTTGTATATTATGCTGCAAACCAATCTGTCATTTGAATTGAATTCTATCTTCTATAAATCCATTCATTTTCCCCTTAACAAAACCAATGCAATAACATACAGAACTAATTTCATTGAGGTCTCTTTAGTGTCAGCAATATATGGTTTACTCGTTTGCTTCTTTTAATTTCATTTGGTTTCTTTGCAATGGAAATAAACTCAGAGAAAATAGAAACAACCCAAAACACTAATAAAATCAATCTTTCTAACGTCTTGGGAACCAGCATTGAAATTTAAAACCACCAAAAGAAGGGTCAGTGATGAGCTTTGCTCCAGCAAGGATTTGTACTGATGCAGTCAGGGCACCTAAGCTCACGGAGTGGTCACAGTCAGGGATGTGGATGGCAGTCATGGAAGCAGATCACAGTGTGGCTGTCACGGACTGACATGGAGGAACTGAAGACAAAGAATGAAACGAGTCCAAACTTATGTGTTCAATTATATGCACACAATATTCCCTGAAAGTGTCACAATGGTAAGCTAATAATTTGAAACTGAGACATTTAATAGCCAGATATGCATACACACCATCACACACACATACACACACACACACATTCCACCGTCTGCTTCATCATCAAAGAATTAAATACACAGCTCTTAACACTTTTTGTTAAATTTGTTGATTTTTTTTGCTCAAGGAGGGCATATTTCAAATAATAATAAACCTTCACCTCATTTACTTGAAAGGCAGCTGACTAACTATCTCTAAAGACAGTCCAAATCTAAATTCTATGGTTCTATGACAGTGACTTCAGACACTAATTTTTCCTGCTAGTTATCTCTTTTCCTTAAACAAAACCAAAACCAAACCAAACTAAACACACATATACAAATTGTACTTATTTTAAAAGTTGGGAGCTGGGGCCATTATAATGGCTCAACTGGTTAATCCTTCACTGGCAGGTACCAGCATCCTATTTGGGGACCAGTTCATCTGCTGACTGCTCTGCCTGGGAACACAGCAGAGGATCCAAAGCCTTGTGGGAGACTAGGAAGAAACTCCTGGCTCCTGGTTTTAGATTGAGGCTATTTACATAGTGAATCACCAAAAGGAAAATCTCTCTCTTTGTAAATCTGCCTTTCCCATTAGAATAAAAAAAAAATCTTAAAAAGAGTTGGGAGTACAATAAAAAAATCAAAAAACTTAATAAATGTCTACAATTAAAGTTAGCCAAGTTTAGAAACTACTGACTAAATAAAAGTAGAATCATACATATTACAGGTTGTAAAAACAACTTATTCAATAACTTTTCTTATTTTTACAGATATATTACACCTATGCTCATTTGGAACTTCTGATTTTCAGATGATCACTCCTGTTATTAGTTAATTGATAAAATTCCTGCCAAAGTCAAAGAATGAATGTCATAGGCCAACCTACACATGAACTATGTTAATGAAATACAGCGTCCCATTATCATTTCAACACCTTTTAAAAAGGTGAAAACAGGTGATGACACTTGGGATTATGACGTTAGGAAATGTAAGTATCCTGCACAAGACAGTTAAAAAAATTTTGTCTTGATGCCAGGTGTGAAAGCCTAGTGGCCTTGTATCTGCTGGGATCCTATATGGGCACTGGTTTGTATCCCATCAGCCCCACTTTCCATCCAGCTCCCTGCTTGTGGCCTGGGAAAGCAATGGAGCATGGCTCAAAGCCTTGGAACCCTGCATCAGTGTGGGAGTTCTGGGAAAAGCTCGTGGATCCTGATCAGCTCAGTTCCAGCAGTTGAGGCCACTTGGGGAGTGAACCAGTTGACAGAATATTTTTCTGTCTCTCCTCTATATATCTGCCCTTCCAATAAAATAATAAAATAAATCTTTTAAAAAAACTGTCTTAATAGTATATCATTTGAGGCTTACATCGTCCTGTAGCTGGTTATATAGCCTCCTACAATGCTGACATCCTATATGGGCACCACTTCCTTTTCTAGGTGGTCCACTTCAGATCCAGCTCCCTGCTAACGTACCTGAGAAAGCAGCAGAGGATGGCCCAAGTCCTTGGGTCCCTGCCCACAGGTGAGAGTTCGGGATTAAGTTCCTGGCTCCTGGCTTTGGCTTCGCCCACCCCTAGCTGACCCTGGCTGTTGCAATCATCTGGGGAGGAAGCAATGGATGGAAAAATCTCTTTTTCTCTCCCCTTTTTTGAAATTGATTGAAGTAAAAAACAAAATACATTAAAAAATTATATCATTCAAAAAATAAGTAGAATTAACAAAATAAATTAATTATTTTATTTAGGTGACCCCCGTGTGTGTGTATACTGTCTTTTTCAAATCACTGATTTGTTAATTGGGTACTTTACTATGTATATGCCATGTCTTAATAGGAACATTTAGAAATATATACGGGATGCCATGTCACAGGTGGCAGCTTAACTCACTGTACAGCAACATTGGTCCTGTATTTCAAAAAATTTTAAATAATAATGTATTTACTTGTATAAAAAAATGGAATGAAACAATTTGTGGGGTTCCCTTAGAGACACTGCAGCAAAATAAAGTGGGGAGCAGATGGCAAAATGTGGGTAACAAAGCTGAGCAAATGGCATGGCAGGAATTCACAGCCGTCTTGTACATATGTTTACATGCATCCACAAAAAGGGGACATACATTGCATAACTGGCTTTATTCTCTCTTTGCATTCTGCAGCCTGGGTTCTAACCTGGGAGATCTGGAAAAAGCTCCATGCTCCTGGCTTCAGCTCAGCCAGGACTACCTGGTATAGTCAACTGTGATTGAACCAGCAGATGGAGTATCTCTCTCTGTTTGTCCCATGCTTTGTAATGACGATTCTCTAAAAAAATATAATTTTTTTAAAAGTCTGTGACAAATTTATGTATGAAAAGCTAAGCATATATTTAAAAATATTTTTTCATCAAAATAAACTTACTTTTATTTCTATTTTCCACACATCCTTCAGGTTCCTTTGTATTAAACAAAAAGTAATTTTTTTTTGTATTATGAAAAACCTTCATTTTCATTTTTCCAATGTTTTCTCATAGTGTTCTCCACTTTCTTCTACAAAGATGCATCTGATTTCTAGGGCCAGGATTGCATACTCATAATCTAACTTAGATACAGGAATTGGGGCCCAGCATGAGAAAGACAATGAACAGAGAGTGCTTAGGCCTGGGACAAACGAGAGATTCATACATTTCACGGAAAGCAAGACATTTCACTAAACACAGACTTACCAACCAGCAGCAATGCTGCCAAACAGGGACAAGGGCCCACCTCTGCTGGGCCAAGCACTGTGCTTCCTGAGGCATGCCTACGCCACTCCACTCGCATCTACCATGCGTCCTGCTTCTGGGGGCATGGCACCCAAAGCAACAGTTTGGGGTATACTTTCCTCACAAGCAGGTTTACAATGATTTATCTCGTCTTTCCTTTTGATTGCAGATTATGTGTATAATACAGTAGAGTCTCAGTATTTTCCCTCCACTACTTTCCCACTTCCTTTCCTTTGCCTCCTTCTCTTCCTCCTCTTTCTGCATGATAGCAATATCGGCTTGCTAGGCCAGAATCTTAGGAACATTCTTTTACTTCCAAGTTGAACATTTCATATGGTTTCACTTCCTTCTTCTGGTTGACTTTCTAATTTTCATGTCAATATAGAGAACTCAAAAACCAAATTCTAAATTCCAGCAAGGCAATCTCTGGGATAATAACATCAAGTTAGTTTTGGCTCCATGTACAGAAACACCTTAAATAAAATCTGATAAATGAATTAAAATATAACTGAGCAATTTAAACATGTTGAGAAAGGCAATTTAGAAAAATTACATCATCATTTTTTTGTCTTTCACTGATGCAAACAGTTCCTAAACAGTAGTGCTGAGAAAAATGGTTACAATAAATGTGTTTTTCATATCACAACTAATCATACATACTCTCTTAAATAAAACATTTAGATTAAACTCTAGACTCACTAAACCTTTTTCAACTAAAAAAATGTTTCAAACCAAGTATCAAAAAAAAATACCCTCTAAATGTTTCCCATCTAAAATCAGATGCTAAAATAATTTTTAAAAATCATTTGAAATTTGGCATATCTAATTCTATAAGCTATTTCATAGACATGTTTTGCAAAGAAAACTCACAAAGAAATTACATTAATGATAGGAAGCAGCTTGGCTCTTTCATCATGCGACTACTCCCTGATTAAACTCCACAACTCACTTGGTAGATGCTATGACCACTGCATGTTCGCCAGCATTGACAATCTTCGTAAGATGATTTGTAACTGAGTCTTCATAAATTGTCATCTGAAAAAAAATATATAGTCCACACTGTATTACCCTTGCTGCCATTTATACAGCTCAGTTCTTAACTGTTGCCCAGAGGAGAAGCAGGCACAAGACAGTCTGAGATGCAGCACTGAAACCATTACACAAGGAAAACAGGCCCTTCTGTGAAAATATTTCTGCTTCTAGAATTCTTTTGTTTTTAGAAAAATCCAAAAAAATCCCTTTTGAATAAAATTTTAATGTGAAATGGATTAACACAAAAAAGCTGACAAAATAGCCTACCGATGTCAGACAATCTAATGTTTTAAATGGGTAAGACTAGAAATTTATGGCACAGAATATCCAATGGTCCAGAAACAGATAAAACAGATTAAAAGGTGTTCATACAGGCTCATTGGCCAGAATCAAAACCTCAAACATACACACTGTATGGTTTGTGGGAACGGATGGTCCGTGTAGCTACCAGAATTGGGAAACTGAGGGCAGTCAGAAGCAGACAATGCCAGCTGTTGCCACAGTATGGAGCTAAACAACTCTCATATACTGAGTGTAGATTCACAAACACTCCAGAAAAACCTGTTATAGCCACAAAGCCGAACACACCTGCCATACTCCATCTTGTACATCTCTATCTCAAAGAAATGGAGCCGGGTGCTGACACGCTCAGAGCAGCACCCGCTGGGCAGAATGGATGACACGTCAAGGTTTATTTGGGCAACATGTTACTAGGAGACAAAGAGAATGAATGACTCAGGCAACTACACCACGATAGAGAAATTACAAACACAACACTGAGTTTCTCTTCAGAGACAAGCCACATGTGGAGGAGTACTTTCCATCAAGGAAGGACAGGGTGAGAACCCACAGTCACACCCAACACGGTATTGGCCCACTAACCCATTTCACTGATTTCTTGATGTACATACTAAAATGCATCTTTATAACATCAGAAAAATGCAAATCTAAATACCTATTTTTAAAATGCAGAAATATCTTTATAATTTAGATTTATTCTCTGAGAAGTAGGAGATGTTCAAAATAATTATTAATGTCACTAATTAATGGTTTGTCATTAATGTTCTTTCATTTCTTGGATTTTGTTTTTAAAAAATCCAAGTTTTGGTTTATTAAAATGATTCCAGAAGGGGGAACAGGGGAGGAACCACAGCCTCTTTCACAGGAAAATAAAATAATCCCTATGTTCAGGGATCTTGTCTAGTTATTTGGCAAGGTCAGAAGGGTAGTATAAAAAAGTTAATATTTCTAATGCAGACACTGTGCTGGAAAAACTTGGTGTCTATTTGCTCCTTTCATTATCTTGCTGGCAAGTCAAGGGGCCTGAGGCTTCAGTGAGTGGAGGGACTTCCTTCCTATACCCACAGCTATGGGATTACAGACAAGCCACAAAGAAAGGTAAAGCTTGATTTTAATGCAGTTCGTTGTCAAGGTCAAACAACAGTGCCATAGTCAAGTGCAGAGGGCATTCAGGGCATGGTCGGGGCAATGCAGAACACTCAACACAAATCTTAGGGGGTGCTATCGTCTTCTTAAAAACCAAAATAACCGTGATTCAAAATCCTTTTGCACTAAACAAACAAGATAGCTTTCACTCACTTAAAACTGTACCTCATGTTTAACAAGTATACATGTGACACAGGTAAGTGCTTATCTCTTTATATTTCAGGAAATAAACATTTCTGAAATAAGTGGAGAAAATTATCCTTTTCTGTGCTTTAGAAACAAAACTAATAAAAATACCAAAATGCTACTGAAGAAAGCAGAATGGTTTCTATAAAACCACAGTATGTGTATAGACAGATTAATATTGTATTTTAAATTGCTGCTGGGAATAAAGTAAGGAAGTACATTCATGTTCAATAGTTATCATCTCAGTGAAAGGACTAAAATGACTTTCATTTTCCTTTTCTGAAATTTGAAAAAGTTGGTTTGGCAATTACAATGGCTAGAACCAGACAAATGCAAAGCCAGGAGGTAGGGGTAGGGTCCAGGGGGCGGGAGCCTCCTCCGGGTCTCCCACATGGGTATGGGAACCCCAGGAATAGAGCCAACCTACACTGCTTTCCCAGGCTGTAACAGGGAGCCGGATCAGGAGCGGAGTAGCGGAGTAGTGGAGCACAAGCTGGTCCCAAAAAATGATACTGGCACCACAGGCAGAAGCTTAGCCCACCATGTCAGGGTGCCAACCCCCAGGAAAAGTTTTAAAAATACTAATTAGCTTCTCTAAGAAACAGCTCCATATTTCCAGTTGGCACTTCTCACCTTAGTTTTGTCAAGTTTATCATTTTCTTAATGACAAAACAAAAATTTCAGTTGTAAAATAAACACACATAGATCAAATGGCCCGAGTGAGTGGCAGAACAATGCTTTAAATGCCAAGTTCTGTTTCAATCTCCACTGGTGGGCCAGGTACTGGGTGCAAGCAGCTGGAATGTCACTTTGGCCACCTGAATCCCCCTCGGGGGTGCCTGGGTGCGATTCTCGGCTCCACTCCCTGTTCCAGCTTCCTGCCAACGGACACCTGGGAGCAGGCTTGTCTTAGGGACGACTTCTGTCTGTACGGTTGGTACGTACGACGGCTCAGCGATCTAAAGGTGTCAAAAACTTTGAATACAAGATTATATCACCAAAAATGTAATTGAAATTAAATAAACATGTTGTCGTAGCTTATGATTAAATTCCTTACTTCTTCCTAGAGACCTGCCCCTACAGCAAACAAACAACACAGACAGGGTTGAGTCTTACATAGAGCACTTCAGACGTCTCTGGAGGTCCTGGAAGCAGAGAAGCCTTTGGTGGCAACTTGAGTTCATACGTCATTATACTCCATCTGAAGGGAAAAACATCTTTGGTCTCATTCCTTTGGAATTTAATATGCTTACTGTCCCCATTCCAAATACATTTATCAATATATACATCTATCTAAGCACTATGGTTTATTTTAAAATAGCCATAGATACACAAAGAAAGTTCTGGTAATCTTATAAAATGTTCATTTCTTTTATCTTCATTTTATTTGAAAAGCATCTAACAGCCACACTTGGGTCAGGCCAATGCAAGGTGTCAGGTCATGGGCCATCACTTGCTGTCTTCCCGAACGTGGCCAGGCAGGAAGCTGGAGGGGAGTGCAGAGGCTGGACTTGAACGCAGGCACTCTGACACAGAGATACGCACACTGCAAGGTGGTGGCCTAACTGCGGTGCCAAATGCTTGTCCCTTGTGAGCCTTTTCACCAGCAAAACGAAGATGACAACAGCAGCTCTTGAGGAGAGCAGCTGTGATGAACTGAGATGTTGGCAGATGAAATAAAACAACCAGAAGTGCCAGGACGACATTGATGTATCCGTTGCTCTCTTTCCCATGGTCTTCACAAGCCTCCGGTGTCATCTTTGTAAAAGCACCACAACCATGGCTGTCCAAGCCACCCCCACAGTGATTTTCTGAAGATTAAGTAAATTCAGAGATCCAAAAAGCTGGCATAATAGTAAATGAGTTTCCTTCACCCTTTCTTTACCGACTACTAACAAAAGCACAGGCATATGATACTCATATTTTCCCAACAGTGGTCCTGAGCTTTTGCGTGCTCTAAGATGACTTTTTTTATCTTGTGTTTTTTGCAGGCCAGACTGTAACAAGGAATTTCATCACCAGGTGCTTATTCTTAGCTAACCACACAGACAATCAAATTTCTATAACACAGGGAGGAAAACACACATTCTGAGTGGAGAAAAATGACAACTAGCATTTCCTAGCAGGAATGGTGTCTACACTTGCAACAAGAAAGCAGTAAGAAGGACTTGGTCAGCCAACAGACCTTGAAAAGATGTTCTCAACCCTGGTGCAATGAAGCTGAGGACATCTCTGAACTATCAAAACCACTCAAGTATTATACCCTCAGAACATTTTTCTCCACACTGGGGGTCTCTAAGGCATCATTAAATGACAGCACCCATGGGTGCTGATATAGTTTGACTGCATGCAATGGTCCCCACCCCTACCCCTCTTGCAGACATGGGAGGGAAAAAAAATTGGAACATTTGTTCCACCCACCTTCCTTCATGCCTCTACCTTCCCCACCCTAGTCAGAGACCCACAAGGGCATGCAAACTTCTCAATTATGTAAACAATGCTAAATATAAAATTAAAAAACAAAAATTAAAGAAAAAGAAAGCATGTAAAATACTTGTTCTTGGGTAAGCACAGAAATGGATGGCTGTCTAGGAATTCACCTTCAAGCTCGATTACAAATAACAGTGATTCTAATATTTCATTTCCAATCTTTTCCCTCCAATTTTATTAAGAATTAACTGACAACTAAAACTAGCATATATTTAAGATTGGTGATTGTGAAATACACATATTAGGAAATAATCAACACAATCAAGCTAATCAACAAATCTATCACCACATTTAGCAATCAACATTTTTTTTTTACTTTCATCCTCTTTTAAAGATTGGTGACTGAATATCGCTATATACTATTTATGATTTTTTTAAAAAATATTTTTATCAGAAAAGCAGATTTACAGAGCTAGGAGAGACAGATAGGAAGATCTTCCACCTGTTGGTTCACTCCCCAAGTGGCTGCACTGCGATCTGAGGACAGGAGACAGGAGGTTCTTCTGGGTCGCCCACGCTGGTGCAGGGTCCCAAGGCTTTTTTGGCCATCCTCTACAACTTTCCCAGGTCACAAGCAGAGAGCTGGATGGGAAGTGGGGCCGCTGGGATTAGAACCTGTGGCCATATGGGATCCCGGCATGTGCAAGGCAATGACTTTAGCCACTAGGCTACCATGCTGGACCCTATTATAAATATTTTTACACCCAAACTATGTGAAGTGTCTCTCTCATGCAATTTTGAATAAAGAGAGAAATGCTCTCCTGCCCAATTCTCTTTATATTCTGTTAGCAAAAGAAATCAGCCATTTCAGCATTACCTGATGACAGGCAAGGTTACAATTAATTAGATTACAGCTCATCATAGAGTAATTACATTTAGGATTGGTGGCTCCCTGATGAGATTCTGTTGTTTTCGGGAAGAGGCACACAGATGGCTAATTATCAGGATTGGTTTGATTCATGCCAACTCAAGTTGAAATGACCCTCTGACATGTGTTCCTGCTTAGCGCGGGAGGACAGGCCTCAGAGCTTACTGAGCACCGTGTCCTCTCCCCAGATTCTAAATTCTTCCTTCCGCAGCGTTCATATATTGCAATTTCTGTTTTAGATGTGGGGTATTCAGAACTCCTTCTCTGGAAGCTGTGCTGCTAATGCTTACCCCTTGCTCTGGGAGAGGATTCGTTTTCTTTTTTAATATTTAGTTCTTTGGGCCCAGCATGGTAGCCTAGCACTAAAGCCCTCGTCTTGCAAACGCTGGGATCCCATACAGATGGCGGTTCATATGCTGGTGGCTCTGCTTGCCATTCAGCTCTCTGCTTGTGCCTGGGAAAGCAGTCGAGGACGGCCCAAACCTTGGGACCCTGCACCCACATGGGAGACCTGGAAGAAGCTCCTGGCTCCTGGCTTCAGATGGCACAGCTCCAGCCACTGTGGCTGTTGGGGAGTTAATCAGCAGACAAAAGATCTTCCTCTCTGTCTCTCCTCTTCTCTGTATATCTGACTTTCCAATAAAAATAAAACTAACAAGATTTTTAAAAAATTTAGTTCTTTGTTGAAGAGATATTCTAACAATTCTAAAGTTCATATCTTCCTTAGCTTTTGTGAAAATGCAGTCAGAAGAGTCCCTACTTATTGTACTCCTCAAAATCCACTCAATGAAATGTTCAGCTTTCTGATCTGAACAGTAAAGAAGGGTAATTAGTATCACCATAATGTTCCATGTTTAAAATACTGGACTCATTAATCTAGTTTTTTCATAACTCGTTCATTCATTCATTCAAAACACATCTTTACTAGGTGTCCATGCATGAAAGACTAGACAACATGAGGAATCTACTTTTGTGGAGTTTATAGACATGCTTTTGTGGGAACAGATGATTAGCTTACAGTTAAGATGCTCACACCCCACACTGAAGTGCCTGGGTTCGATGCTGGGCTCTGGCTCCCAAATCCACCTTCACGTTAGTGCTGACTCTGGGAGACACTGGTGCTGGTTCAAGTACCTGGGTCCCTACCACCCGTGCTGAACCTGAAGAAGCTCTCAGCTTCAAGCCAGCCCAGCTCTGGCTGTTGCAGCTGTCTGGGGAGTGAACAAATTAATGGAAGATCTGTCTCTCCTTCCATCTGTCTCTTTCAAGTAAAACGAAATAAAGCATAAAAAAAATGAAGAAGAAAATTCGCTTTTACCTGTCCAACATTTTTGTGCTGGCTCGTTCCAGCTTCTCCAGGATCTGAGGAAGTTGGGTGTCATCGTCATATGAAGCTCCCCAGCCAAGCACTCGAGCCAGGTCATTTCCTGTGCCCAAGGGCAACACTCCCAGCTGACACTGCAAGACAGCAGCACAGCGAGCGCTGAGACCAGCTCAAAGAGCAGAGCAGCTCCATCCTGCACCTCCAGCAGGCGTGCCCCCATGCATTCACGCCAAGCAGCCACACGAAACCCAGCACTTGCCTGCTTATTCAGGTTGAGCTTATCAATTTCTGACAAAACCCAACCTACACTTCCATCTCCTCCACATACGAGAATCCGGAAATTGTCAAACTTTTGAAATAACCTCAAGCTGCAAGGAAAAAAAAATATTTTAGCATAAACAGGTAAAACTCACTGTTATGTTGTATTAATTGGCATTCACATTCAGATTAAACATAAGAACTCTTACATATTAATTACGCTGTCAAAATTAATTTGAGTGCAATTTTTAACATCTCAAAACACAAGAAAGGAAGGGAGTTACAGGTGGAGGAGTAGATAAGATTAGAAGGAAAGGGGAGAAGGGAGAAAACAGCAAGAAGCAGACCCCGGGAGAGCGAAGGAAGGCAGAGTAAGATAATGAAAGCAGTGATATTCCTCTTTCCACAGCAATGCTGCGTGGCTTCCTTAGGAATGGCACTCCAGGGCTTGAGCAGCCAGGAGTTGCATGTTAATGAACAGCAAAGGAAGCCACTTCCAACCCTGCTGAGGAACTAGTTACTGCTCTGGACCTGCTTGCTCCCCGCCTCCTCTAGTCCCAGGCAAAGGCTTTTACTTCTGTCATCTCTCTTCTCAACTTTCCCCACGTTCTACCTTCTGAATGAACCACTACACACCTGCGATACTGTGGAAGGTCTGAAAAACACAGGGACAGTTCCAAGAAATTTCAGACAGAAATCCTTAGAGGCTTAGAGGATGAATGCGGAAAAAGTATCCCAAACATAAGAGAATGGGACCTGTGAAAGCTGACAAAACAGATATGTTAGAAACGGGCACAAAGCGAGAAGAGAGGCAGATGAGGAACCTCCTCGAGGGCTCCTAGCAAGGAGGTCCAAGCAGGTGTTGGGTGGCAAGCAGGAAGGCAGACACCACGTGACAAGAAGGGCATGAGACAGGGTAAGAAATGGGCCGTGCCAACAGGTGGTTCCTAAAGAGACAAAAGTGAAAAGATGACAAGGGACAGAATCAGTAAGACAGAACAAGGTGTCTGCCTTTTCAGGTGCTGGGAGTAAAGCAAGCAGAGAAAGACAAGTATCTCACCTGGCAGCTGACAGACAGACTCTAAAGAGAGAATGATCTCATGAAATTAAAAGGCTAACAGGGGCTGCCAGAGTCTGGGCATCTGGGAGACAGAGGAAGATGGGGAAAGGCTCATTGACAGTTCCTAGGTTACAGCCAGACGGGAAGGAGGAAGAAGCTCTGGGGGTTTATAGCACAGTAGAGCAATTGCAGACAATGTACTATATATTTACCTTTTGAAAAAAAAAAAAAGCAGATGATGGATGTTTACAGGTTTTCAACATAGAGAAATAAATGGTGTTAAATGTCTGAGACACACAGGTTTACCCCTGGCCGATATTACATGGTGTGTATATATGTACCCAAACATCACAAGGTACCCCAGAAATATAGTTACAAATGAAGTGAACTTTGCAAAATATTAAAAACTGTTAAATCTAAATTTAAAAATTTTGATTAAAAAATTTCCAGGAAGGTGAATAGTCCACAGAAGTAATTTTTGGTGTCTGCGTGAACTGAGCCTGACAGCCTTGAGGATCTGTGCTTACGATGCAGGCTTGTAGCTGTACTTGGCTTTGTGTATTACAAAAGAATTATGCATAGACTCCACTAGCCCACATCGGCGCTCCGTGTAAATCACTGTCTACTGTGACTGTGTAATTCTACACTGATGCAAACAGACCTTTTCCACAGTTAAAGAAACCATCAGTGTTGTCTGATATAGAATATATTCTAAAACATTCTCTAAATGAATTTGGGAATTTGGACATTTTAATATTTTGGAATTAATATTAGGAAAATAAACAGCTATCAAAAAATTGCACTACAGCTTAATGAGAACTTAAAAAAAAGGAAGGAAAGGGAAAAATCAGCACAGAGATGTTTACAGGAATTTACAATTTTTATGAGCTTTAAGTCAGACACATCTCATTCACAGAGCTACAGTTCATTCACATGAGAGCATCAATTATCAATTACCCCAAATGAGGACCTCCATTCATCAAATCAAACACTTGAGCCGGATTTAGCAACTGTTTAAAACGACGAAGGAACTTTACTCCCTGATTATCTCCACTCTTAGAATTGACAAAAACCAAGAGAGGACTAACACAGAATGAAAACGTCGCTCTACAGAAACCTGTAGAAAAACAAAACAAAACAAAACAAAGCAAACAAAACATCAATACATGCTGCTTCCTCTTTTAAGTTACTGGCACATATTCAGAGCAAAAAAGATAAATTCCTAGAAATAAAGACTCTTATGCCTTGATAGGACATTAAATTATAATTCAGCTCTCAAAACAGAGGCAAATTTACTGACATACCATAATATGGAATTTGTCTTTTAAAAATATGACCCATAATGAATCATAACAACAAAGATGCTAAAACGATTCATCACAGATAAACAGATATACCACCTATATTTAACCATAGTTCATTATTAAGGGATAAATTCCTAACAGTTTATGAACTGACATTTGTCAATTTTTTGCTATGTTCATATTTAGTATCCTAAAGTATACTAACTGCTCCTCGATGAAGTTGGAGAAAAAAATTGAAATTTACAATAAACAAAAGAAGCTGGATATATAAGGCTTGAGAGAGTAAGACTGTTATTAACAAAGGTTAGGAAATGTTTCTTTGAGGTCTATGTTATCAGATCTGAGATTTCTTTTGCTAAAATTCATATTAAAACTCTGGAAAGCAGCAGCACAGTATCAACACGAGGTACTGATGGCACTCCATGGTACAAGCCTGTGGTGATACGGTTTTCCTGAAACAAGGTCATATTACACTATTCTTGAACCAGTATGGGAAAGAGGCCCCTCAACACTAAAAAGGGAGCAGTAAGCTTCTGGAAAAAGGGAATGCACTCACGGGAATACACATTTCTGGAATTACAGGAAAACAGATTTTTTGCCATGCTTATGGACAGTTTCAATTATGGAAGGGAAAACACAAAAATTAATCCTCTCAGATATCATTTCGAAATAAAATAATGCTCTAATTTTATTTTCTCAAATGTAAAATCTGAAAGTCTATATACAAAGTAATTTCACCAAGTTGTTAATCATATAATACTTCAATTTTAAAATATTGTTTGAAAAGATAAGTATATTGTTCAGCAATTGCAGTGGCATTATCATATAAAAACTCACTAGAATAATCAACCACAGTTCTATGTGTTTAGGAAAACAAATGTTTATATTAACATTAAACATACCAAGAATAAACATACTTACACTACTGCTACATACCATCAGAATCAGTGCTGTTTAGTGCAATTGGAGGTATGATAGAAACCTTACACTGGCCAAGAGGACATACAAGGTGGTAGGACTCTCTGCAGGCAGTGTGTACCTAGTAATGAAGAAATTCAGCTTTAGTATGTTACACATATCTCACGAACTGATGGTTAGGATCAACTGCTTCACAAATTAATGTAACAAAGAGAACTTCCTGGAGACGGGAGTCTGGTTTCGATCTGGAACCTCTTTGTGGGATGATCTCAATCATGTAGTGTACAGCCAGCGAAAGCCTGCCGCAGGCAGCGAGAGGAGGCGAGAGGAAAGGGGCAGGAAGGGGAGGGGGGACCGAAACGGCCGCTCACCAGAATGTCAGTATCTCCGTCCATATGACCCAGTGATGATGTCGACCTTATATCAAGTCTATTCACATTTTTAATAGTTATCTGCTCAAACACATTTTAAAAAATGCAATTTTGAAACAAACTGAAAAATTTAGAACTATGGAGTAAAATAGAAAGGTATTTGTTATAATGTCAAATGAGACAAGCAAGAGATAAAATGATATCTACACTGTTTTTACAGAAAAGAATGAATTATGTCAGAGACTGGATGTCAGATGAAAAAAGTTGACTGATTGCAGTTGGCATTGTGTGAGGTGTGTGTGTGTTGTGACAGATGACTGCCTTTCAGCATTAGATAGTCTACCAATAGAAATCCATAATTTAAAGGCAAATAATTTATAAATAGAACAATGATAGTGTATAAAAACTATAGGACCAAGAAAAAGGTTTCAAGGATGATGATATCTCAGAGAAAAACAAAATGTTTAACTTGCAAAAAACTGGCTAGCAATGAAGTCACCACCAAGGTGAGGCTTGATTTTCACAGGGAATAAAAGAAAGGGAAGGACATTCCAGAATGGCCACGGGTGCCATCGGAATTGCACCACTACTATAGTTGACTTTTTTTTTAAGCGGAGGTTAAAAAAGAATGAGCATGGAAAAATCCTAATTATCTCTTATTGTTAAGTTATTAACGCTTTCACACAAACAAGGGTATTCTAAAAAATTTGTGGATAATGCAGTTAAGAGATGAGTCTATTCTGGTGCTTAAATTTTTGGTATTTAGCGTATATGACGAGTCTATCAAAAGTTTGTTAAAATGAATATTATGAAAAATTATGCGTGGATTTCAAAATTATTTTGCATCAAATAAAATGGTCTTATTAAGTCCATTTTTCATGAACTTTCTGTAGTACGCTTGTATAACTTTCAGGTATAGGCAACTTTCACTTCCTCACACATTTCTTGTGTTCTCTTCAAAGAGTTAGAAATGAGCAACTAAAGATACTGAATGCTTATTTGTCCTCACCTCTCCCAAGAAAAACCTTAGCGGGGGATGGTGATTTAAAGTCTTGTTTAAAGGTGAGCACCCCTTTCAAATATGGGACGGCGCTAGGAGAGTTTTAGCAGACAGTGTTGGACAGAGGATCCCGAGGGAGGCGCCTTGAGTCTGTGTATTGCATTAAAGTGACAAGAGGGGGGAAATAACACATGGTTAGCTAGGATATTAGGGAATTAATGAAAAAAAAAAATCAAGAGCATACAAAAAATAAAAAGAAATACAAGTAACCCATCAGGCCTGCCAAGTGCAGGAGGACTGAAGCTTTCCTCTGTGGCCAATGTAGTCAGCCCTGGTTCTGAAAGCAGCATATTGTGTCTGCATCTCTAAAATCTGCTGATGTAGATACCACACTTACCAAAACCGAATGGCTTACCACATCTTTTTGTTCGGGACTGACTTTCAAATTTAGAACAGCAATTTTTTGAAAGACCTCAAGACTGGAAAATCATGACATAAATCAGACCCGAGGCAAGGCAATCAAAGCCCTCCAAGGATAGCACTGCCCTGGGTACCGGCTCCAGGCCCGCCTGGCTTCCTCTCCACTCTGGGCCCGGGCCGTGCAGAGGCCCCAGGCTCACCCTGTCCAGCGCAAGTGAGGTCATTCCTTGCTGCTGGCTCCACATTACATTGCTTCTGTGACCACTTTCTTGCTTATGCAGCGACACTGTAAAATTGAATTTATATTAATTGATAGCATAGAAATTATGCTAGTATGTCCTATCAAACTCAGCGCCGTGTGAAAGAACACCAATTATGTTCTGTATGACAAGCAAAATTTGCTAGCACAGCAGAGAAGGGCTCACTCTCTCTGTCCAATGAAAGTAGCAGCCCATGGTATGGCTAAAACAAAATGCAAATCGATCCAATTGTGGGAAACAGATCCTGAGACAGAAAACACATGAATGAAGAACAGGTATTATTTTTTTTGAGAAACCGATCCCCTCCAAAGTGTAATTTTAAAATAAAAAAGCACATAGACGGCAGGGTGTGTGCTGCTAGGCGCTGCTTGGCCAGAAATGCTTGACTTTGTTTCTAAACCACAGCAACCATCACGTTAGGTAAAGATGCTCCTTGACAGGGGGGAAATCATTTCAAAGTCCTCACCATTGCTTTACACCAAAGACATCGCCAGTCCTGAAGACGCAGCACGCTGCCACACGTCTTGTCGCAGACAGCACACTTGGCGCTCACGGGCAAATTGCCTTCCAGCCACTGGTGAGGCATGGCGATCTGTGGGGCAGGGAGAGAGGCGGCCAGTGTGAGGCTAGTGGGGGACAGGGCGCTGACCCTGCGGTGTCATGAATGAAGACACTGATGGTGCATTTTGTGAAAGGTACAGACCCAATTATAGCCGACACCCACATAGCTGTCCACATGTGGAAAGCAGCTATGACTCCCGAATCCTCAGGGATATCAGGATAAAGACGGACCACAGCTCTGCACCTCCTGGAGGGCTCCAGCTGAGCACACGGCAGGTCAAGGCATGAAGCTAGAGCCACCACTAAGTGCTACTGGAATCCCCATGCAAAGGATTATGGAGGCGAGATCTGGAAGTCAGGGGGCTGGCCAAGAGTGGGGGTAGGGGTGGTGAGTGGTTCCCAAATCTGAAGAGTGAACATCTGTGAGTTAAGTGTGAAAGATCTTCAAGTTGCTGAGACAGGGATCTGCAGCCCCTGCCCAGGCCAGCAAGGGCCAACTCGCAGCACACTGCCTCGAAATCCAAAAGCTGCAGAAGGCTACGAAGAACTGAAAGACTAAAACCTTCTATAGGACCCCAGTAGGAGACCATCCCACTTTAATGCCCTAGCCTCCTCTTCCACGGGGACAATGTGAAAAAAAAATAACCCCCCCCCGGGAGGGGGCTGGGGCAGGAGAGCAGCTTACTCCGTCCTCGTCCTCGATGATGTCCTTCCCAACGGAGGCCAGCGTGGTCCATTTACAGTTATTTATAGCCCTTACGGCACATCTTTTGTGAGCCTTGAATTTACACACTGAAAACAAACCAAGCAAACAAACAAAAAAAAGGCAACCAACTTTAAGATAATAAATACTTTGGGACCAAGGATGAAAGAAAATCTTAAAGAGACAGAAAAAAAAATTTTTTTTGGTCAAATTTGAAACTCTAGCGATAAGATATTCTCAAAAACCAATACAGCCATGTACTTAGGATGTGCTTTTGTCAAGCTATGGATAACACACTATTTAAAATAGAAGCAGCCCAGGACCCAGAGTGGTAGCCGAGTGGCTGAAGTCCTCGGCCTTGCATGAGCCGGGATCCCGTATGTGCGCTGGCTCTAATCCCAGCAGGCCCTGTTTCCCATCCGGCTCCCTGCCGGTGGCCTGGGGAAGCAGACAAGGATGGCCCAAAGCCTTGGGACCCTGCACCCACGGGGGAGACCCGGAAGAAGCTCTGGGTCCTGGCTCCAGATTGGCTCAGCTCCAGCGTTGCAGCGGCTTGGGGAGTGAATCAACGGATGGAAGACTTTCCTCTCTGTCTCTCCTCCTCTCTGTATATCTGACTTCTCAATAAAAACAATTTAATAAAATAGAAGGGTCCTAAATAAAAATGAACAAGTGTTTGAGGAAGGGGAAGAAAACATACACACAATGAAATGAAAATCACTTCCGGAGCTAGTAACCTACTATTCTTTTTTGAAAAAAAAGTTATTTACTATTTATATTAATTTTAAAGGCATAGAAGTAAAGTTCATTCTTCAAATCCCCATAAACAACCAGGAGTGGGCCAGATCAATCCAGGAGCTGAGAATTCACCTGACTCTCCCAGGTGGATGAAGCTATTGAAGCACTGCAACCCTCACCTGCTGCCCCTAGAGGGAGCACCGGAGCAGAAAGCCGAGATCCCAGTCAGAAACAGAACAAGAACCCAGGCACTCTGGTATGGCATTCAGACTCGGGTACCCCAAGAGGCATCTTTTCTTTTTGTTTATTTGTTTTGAAAGGTAGGGTTGCATGGAGGGAGGGAGGGAGGCTGGGAGAGAGAGAGAAACAGACACAGATCTTCTATACGCTGGTTCACTCCCCAAATGGCCACAACAGCTAAAGCTGAACCAATTGGAAACCAGAAAAGCTTCTTCTGGGTCTCCCACATGGGTATATGAGCCCAAGTACTTGAGCCATCCTTCGCTACTTCTCCAGGCCACAAGCAGGGAAACTGGATAGCAACTGGAGAGCCAGGACTGGACTCTGTGCATATGGAATGCCAGTGCCATAGCTAGAAGCTTAGCTTGCTATATCACAGCGTCAGTCACCCAAGTGCCATTGCAACCCCTATGCCTCCACGGTATTTCTTAACCTCTGTGTTGATAACAGCATGTTTGAGAAAATTCATCTGTGTGCTCTGACATTTGCAATGTTCTCTACGTATAATGTACCTTAAAGTAATGTAATACATATTGTGTATTATATATATATATATTTATGAAATAAAGTTTGAAAATGTCACTAAGATAAAGACAATTGAAGCAGTTGTAAAACATAAGTACTTCAAGAAAATATCCAGGCACCATGAGAAAGAGGCTGGTGGGGGTCACCAAGGTGGTACTTTTACAAGCATCCCATTGGGAATGCCACATTACAAATGCAAACAGGCTAAGTGACAAGGCAATACTCTCACGGTCAGTGTCACCATGCAGGACAGGCAAGGAGTCACCAGGAGCCACCCAGGGAACAGTGGCCTGGAAGCCCTTTCAGTCTCTCTCTAGCCTGGCACCCTGGCATTGCACACTCACTTTCTCGTGAAGAGGAGGACGCCATCACCATGTGTACACTGAGCTCCATGAAAACATTCCCAGAGGGCATCACACACACTGAAACCCACCGCCAAGTCCACCGTGCTTATATATTCAATTAGGGTACCACGTCCTAACCAATATAACTGTCTAATGGACTGGGGCTTTCTTTTTCTCTCTAGCTCCTTCCCACCTCCTTCCCTCGTTCCTTCCCTTGTTCCCTCCAGGTAGGGTATTGGATCTTGTTCACGGCAGGCGCCTGTCCTTAGGGGCTTGCCCACAGTATCATGGCGATGAAGGTACACTCATGCTCTAAATAAATCTTGCTCCTATTTTTGCACTTAGGTCCCTTCCTTTGAATTCTTATCTTACCAGGGCCAAGGGCCTGGATTAAAACAACCTGGAGACAATTCTACAAAGATATTACTAGAATCAAGTTTGGAAGCGATAAGAAGAAACAACTAGCAAAACAGTAACACATGTAGGTAAAATCAGGACGTTTAGAAAACTAAGCATTCTTACAGAAATCAGAACATGACTACCAACACATTCATCTCTCCCTGGAGACAAATTATTCAAGTAGTCAGGGATGAGTGAGTTACAGCAGCTCCTGACATTCCAAATAAATGGTTAAAAATAGAGATTATGTCAGTCAAAACGTAAGGAACTGTTGCTAAATTTAAATGTGAGCTGGCTCATGACACACGTGACTCCTAGAGTTTCTAATATTTAGTCATTAAAAAATTTCACCTGAGTTACACACCGTTTTCCTTAAGCTGTTTTAATGTGATGTGACATGAAAGCAAAAGGTCTGGTAAAATAACTAAGATGTCTGTAAGAAAATGCTCAAAATATTTCAGATATTGTGACCAGCCAATGCATAAATGGTCACTTAGATCATGTGTCTTTGAAAAGCATTAGTTCAGACATTGAAAATGCTTTATTATCTATTGTTCTGTACATTTTGACAAATCATTGGCTGACAATCACACCAACTGTGTTACCCATGACTGTGTGACTTGAACACAATCTTAGAACAGAAAATGATGACATTTCAATTCAGTTTTGCTACTGCTGTATGGTCAAAGTGAAAACACAAAGTGTATGGGCCCAGTGGCGTGGCCTAGCGGCTAAAGTCCTCGCCTTGAATGCGCCGGGATTCCATATGGGTGCCGGTTCTTATCCTGGCAGCTCCACTTCCCATCCAGCTCCCTGCTGTGGCCTGGGAAAGAGGAAGAGGATGGCCCAAAGCCTTGGGACCCTGCACCTGTGCCTATGTGGGAAACCCAGAGGAGGCTCCTGGCTCCTGGCTTCGGATTGGCGCAGCACCGGCCATTGCAGTCACTTGGGGAGTGACTCATTGGATGGAAGATCTTCCTGTCTCTCCTCCTCTGTATATCTGACTTTCCAATAAATAAATAAATCTTAGAAGAAAAAAGAAAACACAAAGTGTAGACTGGAGAAAACCTGATCATGGCTCTATGGCTGCAATAAAAGTGACTGTTCTAAACTTAGCAGGCCACTGTTTCTAGGCCTTTTCACTGATTACAATATTCTTCATAAGTGAAGTGTTCAAGCAAGCTGAAACAGTCTCCAAAGTCTTTTTTAAAGTAAAAAATAACTACCTGAAATTAATAGCGAATATTCAGTTTCTAAGGAGGGGCAATAGAAGGTAAAAGGGTTATAATTTCACGACTTTTTTAAAAATGCACCATTAAACATCAAATAGCTCGTTAAAAACAAAAATTACATTTTTATGATAATGAGGTGCTTTATGTAATGAACTTTTAGAAATAGAAGGCTCTATAAATAAAATGATCACATTTAAACAAACCAGACTCTAATTATGGTCACTAAGGAATGGAAATGATTAACAGGCAACTTAATTTTGTTAGATAGCAATTCAATCTCTCCAGACAAGTTATTCTGAAATAAAACACTTTTCTCAGACCTACAAAGTGATCACTTAAAACTACACTGATACATGACAAAATCATGATTCACAGGACCGCATTTAAAGGGTGCCACACTGAATCTTTCCTGAGTGTTAAATGGCAGTGAAGATACAAATTCGAAGTTCCCATCTTGACATACTTGTGCTTGGCACAGCAACTACATCACCAGGCGGGACGTGTCTCGTGGTGCGCAGGTGCCTAGGTTAGAGCCCTAGTTTTCTTCCTGATTCCAGCAGCATGCCAACATGCACCACAGGGGGCAGCAGGTTCAAGCACTGGGGGACACTCACGTGAGACACTGGAAAGGTTCCCTGCTCTGCACTTCAGCCTCTTTAGCTCCAAATGTTGCTGCCTTTTGGGAAGTAAATTAGAGGGCAGAAGGTTCTCTCTGTCTCTTTCCTCTGGGTATGTCTTTCAAATATACAATACACTTCTTAAAAATTTCCAATTAGGGTCCGGCACAATAGTCTAGTGGCAAAAGTCTTTGCCTTGCTTTTGCCAGGGTCCCATATGAGCTATGAGCGATGGCTTGTGTCCCGGGTGCTCCACTTCCCATCCAGTTCCCTGCTTGTGGCCTGGGAAAGCAAGACAGGATGGCCCAAAGCTTTGGGACCCTGCAACCATGTGGAAGAACTGGAAGGAGCATCTGGCTTCAAATCAGCTCAGTTCTGGCCATTGTGGCTACCTGGGGAGTGAACCAGCAGACGGAAGAGCTTTCTCTCTGTATCTCCTTCTTTCTACAGATCTGACTTTTCAATAAAAATAAGCCTTTAAGCAATTTTTAATTAAACAGTTTGTCGCATGAGTGTTAATACAAAGGGCAATTATGATGTGACATTCTCAATAGATCCTGGGATTTATGGAAAACTTGAGAATTTTAGAAACTGCTAACAGATTTCTGAAAATACTAATGGGCAAGATATTGAAGATGTAAATAGCTTTACCAGCAAAAAAAGTTTAAAAACTAGTATATAATTTCCAAGAATTTCTTTTAAGATCCATTTTTTTGGGCCTGGCGCAGTGGCCTAGTGGCTAAAATTCTTGCCTTAAACACGCCAGGATCCCATATGGGGGCTGGTTCTAATCCCGGGCAGCTCCACTTCCCATCCAGCTCCTGCTTGTGGCCTGGGAAAGCAGTCCAGGATAGCCCAAAGACTTGGAAGCTGCACCCGCATGGAAGATCTGGAGGAAGTTTCTGGCTCCTGGCTTTGAATCAGGCAGCACCGGCCATTGCAGTCACTTGGGGAGAGAATCTTCGGACAGAAGATCTTCCTCTCTGTCTCTCCTCCTCTCTGTACATCTGACTTTGTGATAATAATAAAATAAATCTTAAAAAAAAAAAAAAATCCGGGCCCAGTGCCGCGTCCTAGTGGCTAAAAGTCCTCACCTTGAACATGCAGGGATCCCATATGGGTGCCGGTTCTAATCCCAACAGCCTTGCTTCCCACCCAGCTCCCAGTTTGTGACCTGGAAAGGCAGTCAAGGGCAGCCCAAAGCCTTGGGACCCTGCACCTATGTGGGAGACCCAGAAGAGGATCCTGGCTCCTGGCTTTGGATCGGCGCAGCACCAGTTGATGCGCTCACTTGGGGAATGAATCATCGGATGGAAGATCTTCCTCTCTGTCTCTTCTCCTCTCTGTATATATCTGACTTTACAATAAAAATAAATAAATAAATCTTTTTTTTTTAAAAATCCATTTTTTAAGGAAAAAAATGTTAGGAAGACTACATTATTTACAGAATACAACACATTATTTAACAACTTTGCTTTAAAGAGTCACTCATTACTCTTAAATATAATAAAGTTATTTTTTTAATGACTATTTTTACCTGCTTGAAAGGAAGAAAGAGGAGAGGGAGGGCAGGGCTAATGCGTGGGAGAAAGGAAGAGGAAGAGTTAGCTTCTGTCCACTGCATCTATCTTCCCAAAGCCCACAACAGCCATGACTGTACGGGCAGAAGCTCAGAAGCTCAGAGCCCCATGCAGATCTGCCAGGCGGGAGGCAGGGGCCCACGGGCTCCCGTTATCATCCGCTGCCTCCAAGGGCGTGCCCTGGCAGGAAGCAGTACTGCAAGAGGAGTCCAGACTCTAATCAGTCCCGTGACATGGGAAGTCCCGAGTGTGACACCAACCCACTACTGCACAACACACACCCATTAAAGACTCAGGCATCTTATTCTCACCCATTGATCTCACCCATTAAAATGCTTAGAACATCATTCGATCAATCCACTACTGACTGAGTTCCTAAATAATTAAATATACTCAATAATTCATAACTCATAAAATTCATTGTGTCAGATAAAGCATCCATTTTAATGTTTGGGGCAATGAGAGACTAGAAGTGAATAGTAAAGGGCCTGCCTGGTATGGTAGCCTAGTTGGCGAAAGTCCTCGCCTTGGATACGCTGAGATCCCATATGAGTGCCAGTTTGTGTACTGGCTGCACCTCTTCCCATCCAGTTCCCTGCTTGTGGCCTGGGAAAGCAGTCGAGGATGGCCCAAAGCCTTGAGACTCTGCACCCGCGTGGCTCCTGGCTTCGATTCAGCTCAGCTTTGGCTGTGTGGTCACCTGGGGAGTTAATCAGCTGGCGGAAGATCTTCCTGTCTCTCCTCCTCTCTGTATATCTGCCTTTCTAATAAAAATAAATAAATACTTTCTTTAAAAAGTTAGTAACAGTAAAATGACCTTCAGAATAGTATGTAATATCCAGACTCAGTAGGAACTGCTCAGATCTACAGATAATGAACCCTTTAATCAACTGGAGTCATGGAGGTCAATTACATTTCCATCTGCAATAATTCTTTACATTAAAAACAGGTTACTACCTTCTCCAAATGTTTTATGAACTCAGTCCGGAATGAATTGACAGTTGTCTTATACAGCAGTCAGAAACTTCCAACATTTCTTTGGCTAGAAAAGTGGTTTTATCATCTGTAATCTTGGAATTAATTTTTATAGTAATTCTATGAGGTATAAATTATGATTATCCCTATTTCACAAATGAGGAAAGTCTAAATACATGAAACCACATCCCCTTATTATGATTTGTAATGGAAGATGAGTTAGAGAGATTCTACATGTACCGTGCTACTCAGATTCTGTGTGATCCTAAATGGCTGAACCAACGAGGCAGCCCTGATTTTATCATTTAACACGTCTGGGAAAGCGGCACAAGCTGGCCCAAGCGCTTAGACTCCCACCACCCTGTGGGGAACCTGGACAGAGTTCCAGGCTCCTGGCGTGGGCCTGGCCATGCATGATTTTTTGCAGTCATTTGGGCAGTGAATCAGAAGATAGAAGATCTCCTTTACTCTGTCACTTGGCCTTTCAAATAATAAAAAAAAATTCTTGAAAAAAAAATCAATTAAAACTGTGACAACTGCTGTTTTATTAATAAGCAGTTATATTTTTTAAAACATTTCATAAGAGAAACAAGTTATCAGTAATATAACTGTAAAAACAGTTTATAATGGTGTGATTAATGAGGAATGAAATGAAATAAATCTAAAAAAGTTATATACTGAACCTGGAGTGACAGCTCAGTGGATAAACCCTCACACCTCGCATGTGCTGGGATCCCATATGGACAGCAGTTCATATTCCAGCAGCCCCACTTCCCATCCAGCTCCCTGCTAGTGGCCTGGGAAAGCAGTCAAGGACAGGCCAAAGCCTTGGGACCCTGGACCTGCATGGGAGAGCCGGAAGAAGCTCCTGGCTCCTGGCTTCGGACTGGCTCAGCTGTGGCCATTATGACCACTTGGGGGGTGAACAGGTGAATGGATTCTCTCTTTGACTTGCCTTCTCTCTGTAACTCTGACTTTCCAATAAAAATAAATTAAATCTTTTTTTTTTTAAGTTATATATTTTCCCTTGGTGCTTTTTGATGTATGCATTTTTGGGTAAGCTAAAAAAACAGGTGCTGAGCATTTGGCCCATCAACTAAGATGCCTACACCCCACTTTGGGAAGCCTGGATTCAACTGCTGGCTTCTAGCCTTGGCGCCAGCTTCCTGTTCATGCAGACACAGGGTAGCAGTGGTAATGGCTCCAAGAACTGGGTCCCTGCCACCCAAAAGGGGAATCTGGACTCCTGACTCTTGATTTTGTTCAGCTCCGCTCCTTGTGGGTATGTGATCATGAACTAGGAGATAACAAGATTTTACCTTATAGCTTTTCTTCAGTCTATTTGCCTCTCAAAGCCAAACACACACAACTTCTAATTAAACACAAACAAACAAAAAACCCACAGGGGCCAGTGCTGTGGTGCAGCGGGTTAAGTTTCTGCTTTGCAATGTCGTCATCCCACATCTGAGTGCTTGTCTGAGTCCTGTTTCCAACAATGTGCTACCAATGTGCCTGGGAAGGCAGTGGCTGATGATCCACGTCAGAGACGGGCAGGGAGTGCCTGGACCCGGGATTCAGCTTGGCCCAGCCTGCCTCTGAGGCCATCTAGGCAGTAAATGGAAGGTCTCCTCTCTCTGCCTCTCTCCCTCACTCACTCTGTATTCTTTCTCTCTGACGAGCTCTGCCTTTCAAATAAACACACCTTAAAAAACAAACAAACAAAAAAACCACCTTACAACTCCTGAGTGAAAGCAACAGCATATGTTTTACTTTTAGGAAACTCTACAGAAATTAAAACAGTGAAATTAAACATAAATGAAAACAAAGCTTTAAAAATATAATATAAAAAGCAATCACAAGTTGGGTCAAAGAATATACACAATAATACAACATTTATGGGAATGGAATGAAAAGATCATTTATTTTGGTGCAAAAAACTTGAAATCTACACATATAAAGGATCTTCAGAACATTCACGGAAAATGCATAATATGAAAAAAACTATGTATGATTTCTAATGCTCTTGCACCATAATAAGCTTATCTTTTAATTCAGTTTTTCCATAAACTTTTTGAAATCCCTTCTTAGTGTCATCATAGAAAGTTCATCTCCAAGATGAACTTAGGGCCAAGAGTATGGAATGGACAACAAAGTCTAAAGATTTTTTTTTGGGTGGGGGGAACAGTGGCTCCCTAGGAATTAAATACTATACTTTGGTTTATATTTCCTTTTAAATGATTTTATATGATCTATTCCTGAGTAGAAATATTTCCCAGGTCAGACCTATGTGCAGAAAATTAAGTTACAATAAAATTGGGGAAAGTGTTTGACACAGTGTTTAAGATGCTGCTTGGGGTACCCACACCCCATATCAGGGTGCCTGGTTTTCAATGCCCACTCCACTGTTGATCCAGTTTCCTGCTGAATTGCATCCTGAGAGTCAGCAGCTCATGCCTCAAGTCCCTGGGTCCCTGCCGCCAAGGTGTTAAACATGGATTGAATTCAAGGTCCCTGGCTTAAGCTTGACCCACCTCCAATATTAATAGGCACTTAGGAAGAGAGCCAGCTGATGGAAGATTCTCTCCCTGTCTCTCTCCCTCCCTCCCTCCCTCTGTGTGTATGTGTGTGACTCTGCTTTTAAACAGATAAATGAATAAATAGATGATAGACAGATATATAAATAAAAACACAGAGCTATGACTTAGGGGAAAAGCCCTGAAACTGATCTGAGATCCCCAGCCCTGGCTTCCTACCCAGGGACAATGTTTTTCCAGGACATTTTTATTTACGTTATAGGAGCACAGGTGGTGGCGTCCACAGCACTGGCCCTGTTGGGAGAGGAACCTGCTGCATACTACAATACCTTCACAGGACAGGCCGTGGGAGGTGACTCCAGAAAGACTTTCTCTGCACACGTTACAGAAGGTGGGGCGGGCGTGGGAGCAGGCGTACCAGTTATGCATCCCTGAGAAATGTTCCACATTAAACTGGGCCACCTAGAAACGAAACGTTAGGAGAGATTTGCCAGGCAACAGAGTAAGACTACAGATGCTGAACTATTTGGGAAAAAAAAAAAAATATATATATATATATACATATATATATATATATAAAAAAACCATGGTTGGGATCGCAATTTCACATCCAACATTTTTAACACCAAAGTACTTGGCTTCAAGCAAGAAATATGAAAATCTGATTTAAACAAGGTGTCAAACGCGGCTACACATAGTTATTTTTTGCATAGTATAGCTTCTGTTCTTGGTTTATCAGTTACTCTCTGAGAACGGGAGCTGACAGAAGAGCTGCTGTCTTACCTCGTAGGACTCTCTGGTCTGTACAGACTTCAGGGAGCTAATCCAGTCCTCCATCTCCTTTCTGTTCTCAGCGCAAAGCATCAGCCTTCGAAATGGAGTGATTATCTGAAAGAGATCATCCACTCCAGTGACTGTTGATAATCAGCAAGTGAGATTACTGCACAACCTAACACTCAGAGTGGAGATTTCCTGGATGAAGAAAGTACCACTCTTCACACTAGAAATGAGCGGCATTGTCCATGTGTGGTATGAGGTTGAGGAGAGAAAACTTTTTAGAAGTCTTTTCTTTGATCCTGCTACTGCTTACCTAGCAAGCTTTTTTAGCTCTCCGCGTAAGTCCAGGAACCACAAATGTGATGATCATTCTTATTTTGGGGAATCTGCCTTGAAAACTGATTTTCAGGGTTCTTTAAAGTAATTTATCTTAAGTACAGAATTATTATCAAGTTTTCTATATCGGAAATATTTTAATTAAAAAAGCAAAGAAGTACAATGTCAAATGACTTCACAACCGATGTGCTAGGCTACCAAGAACATTCCACTACTAGTTAAATAAAACTACTGCCCTATGTCATTATGATTCCTATGAGGGGTTCCCCCATCCCCCACACTGCAGCACAGAACTGCGCTGGGACACTTTCTAGTTTTAGTTGGAGGAGGAAAAATTAGCATAAAATTCCTCTCACTGGCTTAAAGGAAGAAAATAATTGTGACTTTTATCTTCTTAATGTCATTTAAAAAGGCAAGCTAATTCTGTTAAAACCCTTACATCAATTAGAAACTTCTAGCTGTTATAACACCCAAAGCGTTGTAACAGTAAGATGCTCAAATGACTTGAAGAAGTCCCTTTTTGCACCTGAATACAGTATTCTGGCTGTGATCTTAAAGTTACCAAATCCTAAACATGGACAGCAAAGGAAACAAGAATGCAAAGCTCCCTGCCTGCCTAGAAAGGGTTTCCACAAACTAAACAACGTACTCATTCATACAGCCAGAGAGAAATGTCCCCTGCTCCAAAGTCTCCGGAGCCGGTGACATTTCTAAGCACACTGCCTTAGAGAACAGATTTCACAAGAAACAAACAGCGATCCTCAACTGATAGTGAATAAGGACCTTTCCCCAAAGAAGGAAACTAGTGAGCCTAAACCACCGCTATTCAGCTCGGTAAATAAACCTGCTATTCCAGAGAAGACAGATCAGCCAGTGTTAGCTACTTACCAGTGGTCGCCTACTCTCACGCTGTCATTTATCCAGGCGACCCAGCCCTTGCCTACAACCAGGTGCTCTCGGTCATGCATCTGACAGCCACTCACACTTAAATATGGCTGGCTCAAAGTCACATGCAGGAGCTGCACCAACCACTCAGCCCCGAGGACTGTTCATGGCAAACAGAAGCTCATTTTCACATTTTCTTCTTTTTTCCATGACCCTCTTTGCACAAGGCTTATTAGCAGTTGGTCACTTCTCTTCCTGAATAAATAGTTAATGCAAAGAGCAATGCTTCCCCCACTACTTAGGAGCCAAATGGATGCTTTATTGCTTCAAAATGTTTTTCTAGGACAGCTCATCAAAGGCAGCAGTGAGGTACCATTAAATCGTAATACACTCTGGGCTCTGCCAGTTGGCATAGCGGTCCGCAAACCCCAGCCAATCCGCGGGATTTGCTGATGGCATCTGAAGAAATATCAGCATTTATTTTATTCATCTCCTGCTATATGATGCAACTGTACGATTCCCTCTCTCATATGCTCAACTTTAACAAGAGACAAGTATGATTCAGCACATAGCCAGGCTTGCATTGCACTCATTTTGTTATTTGCTACTAAGTAAAGTTTGTTCTTTGCTATTAAGTAAAGCTTTCTGATAGAAATTTTAACAATCTTTCGTAAATTCTTTACATTAACAGTCTTTAAAAGTCATCACAAAATCAATAAAAAGAAACAGAATGCCTGCTAATTTATTCTGTGGATTTCAGAGCCACATGCCTCAATTCTTTTTTTCTTTTCTTTTTTTTAACTTTTTTCTTTTGCATTTTGTCTTTTTACTTTGTATTTTTTACCTCAGTTCTTTTTTTAAAGTTTTTTTTTTTATTGGAAAGTCAGATTTACAGAGATGAGGAGAGACAGAGAGGAAGATCTTCCATCTGATGATTCACTCCCCAAGTGAGCGCAACGGCTGGAGCTGAGCCAACATGCAGCCAGGTCTCCCTACATGGGTGCAGGGTCCCAAACCTGCCCTCCTATGCCACAGGCAGAGAGCTGAATGGGAAGTGGGGCTGCAGGAATTAGGACCAGGGCCCATATGGGATCCCTGCATGTGCAAGGTGAGGACCTTAGCCACTAGGCTACTGCGCTGGGCCCTTGCCTCAATTCTTAATGATTATAATACTACTAACCTGTACCTTATACTAATAACTATGTACCTTAGATGTTAATGAAATAAATGGTATACCTCTGCAACTTCTCTATTAAACAAATTTTAAAATAGTAGTAATACACACATAAAAATCATGATAAACAGAAACTGTCAGAGAAAAAAAATTATTTTTATCTACAGCTTTTATGATAAAAAAAGATTTATCTGTTTATCTATTTATCTATTTTATTTGAAAGGCAGAGCAACAGAGAAAGATATCATATCAGCAAGTTCACTTCCCAAATGGCCTCAGCAGTCACCTGTGGACCAGGCTGAAGCCAGGAACAAGGAGCTCCATGCTGGTCTTCCACGTGAGCGGCAGGGCCTCAAGCAGCGGGAACATATTCCACTGCCTTCTCAGGCTCGCGGATGAGAAGCCAGGTCAGAAGTGGAGCAGGGACTTGAGCCCACTCTTTGTTGGCTTTGCAAGAAGTGGGTTAACGCACTTGAGTTACAATGCAGGCCCCAATAGGTGATTTTAAATTTTACTGATACATATAAAGTTACACTGTAGGAAGCCAGTGTGAGAACAATACTCGTCATAGATCATATGCATAAAGCTCTCTCACACTGTGACTACGATACTCAAAAGAGCTGTGTCAAGTGGCCCTTTTCATGCTGCAGGAAGCCCTCCCCCAAGGCCTCCAGCCATGAGTTCCCCACCTGCCAGGCTAGGAGGAAAGAATCTGCCAGCTGCAGTTGTGACTGGCAGACCTTGCCTATGCCCACCTGAAACTCATCAAGCTACATTGGCATCTCATCTGTCTCTATTAGGGGAATGTCTGGCAAGGAAGAAATCCCCCAAATCACTTAGCACTTACGGTGAAAGTGCGTTTAACTCTGTGTTTTAGCATAAGTGAGTATGATAAGGAAGATAGGTGGAGCGGATGGGATCCCTTTACTATGGAGGGGAGAGAAGCTATTGCCCACAGAAATGGAGCCCCTAGGGACACAAGTCAAAAAGCTTCTGGAATGAGATGGGTTTGCCTTCCCCAAGGGACCTGAAGGGTACCCCTCCTGAGCCGTCCCCAGCCCTAGCTCTGCCTCAACCCCACAATGACCCTCACTTCCTACTGTCTCTTCCAAATAACTTATTGCAGGTGCATCTGAATTTACTACAACTGCTCCCTCAACTTCAGACACTAACTGCTCCCTCAAATCCTGGGACACTTCTGCCCCGACACTCAAGCATTCTCTGAGCACGTGCCACCTACAAGAGTCGGCATAAAAACCACATGGACACTGTCGTAAGAGTCTACCCGAGAGACTAGAAGTAAAACAAGAATTTACTTCCTTTGAAATAGCGCTGTACAAGACAGGGTAGAAAGCAGAGCGATCTAAATCAGCTTCTTACAGGGTACTTCAGGTAACACACAGAGCCTTCACGAACAAACACACTACACTCCTTTGAGGGGATTCCTCCAACGACATTATGGGGATTAAAAATCAAGAACTTCTCAATCTAATAAAGCAAATAAATACATAAAATAGTTGAGGTAGTTTGGCATTAAATACATCGAACGCTATCTGACAGTAACATGATGAGAGGTCTTAAAAAGTTTGTGCAGGTGCAAACACTGAACTCAACAAGTAAGCAGTTACTTGTGTTGCATGAGTGCCAAATGCGAGCTACATGGGTTGTGGTCCCACCCCATCCCCAATGCCAGCTGCCTGCTGAGGCACACCGTGGCAGCGTACAGGTGGAGGCCCTGGTGGCTGGGCTCTTACCACCCACAGGAGAGACCTGGAAGGAGTTCCCAGCTCGCAGCTCTTGGTAGCTTTGCCCTGACTGCTGCGGGCATTTTGAGGGGTGAGGCCGCGGATGGGAGCTCTGTCATACTCCCTCGCAAATAAGTTTTAAAAAAATATACAAAATAGAAAAGCACACATGGATTTCAGGGTTTTTTTTTTCCTAAACCAAAGCAAACTTGTGTTTTAATCCTCTTATTCATGAACTTGTTGACGTACCCTCATATAAACAAAACTTTACATACCTAAACACGCATGGGCAAAAAAAATAAATACAGACACAAAGCCAAATCATGTACTGTTGTCTTTCAGTGAAAGGACTGAAGATCATTTTAACTATAATTTTGTACTTTTGCAGTTTCTATAGCAAATAAAGAGTACTTTTTAAATAAAAACCTGATTTTTTTTAATAAGCTAACAAAAGAATTTCCAAGCTCTGCATCATCGGGCTGGCATTGTGGTGCAGTGGGTTAAATCTCCCTCTGTGATGCTGGCATCCCTTACGAGTGTGTTACAAGCCTGTCTCCTTCATCTCCAATCCAGCTCTCCGCTAACACACCTGAGGAAGCACAGGGAGTCGGTGCCTGGGCTCCTGCACCCACATAGGAGACCCAGATGAATTCCCAGAACTGGCTCATGCGTAGCCCAGTTCTGGCTGTTGTAGCCATCTAGAAAGTCAACCAGTGAAAAAGATCTCTCTCTGTGTCACTCTGCCTTTCAAAGAAGTAACACGCACATATTTTTAAAATGGGCACTGTTGCAAAGCAGGTGTCCTTCACTTCTGCTACATCCCTAGGGGATGCTTAAATCCAGCCTCTCTGCAGCAGCAGCAGGCTGATTTTGAACAGCCAAGTGGAGACTCGGACACAACTTTAACTTCCAGTTCAACCACTTTTTTTTTTAAAAGATTTATTTTTATTTTTATTGGAAAGGCAGATATA